AACCACATTATTACTAAAGGAAAAGGGTTTTCCCTACATGGCAACCCCAAATGTGTTCTTATTAATGAATTATGAGAGTGCCTTATTAAAAAGTGGTACTGAAATTTGTCTCAGCTACACACAGTGGATGTCTGCTCGTAACCATCATGCACTGATTCTTCCCTGGATGTCCCAGATTAAGCCATACAAGTCCAACCTGTTGCTTAGCATACATCAGCCCAGCATGCCGTATCTCCAGCTCAGCTGTGAGCTCCACTGGGACTGTGTGTAATGTGCCATGGACGAACCCCAGCACTTAAACACTGTAATCAGAGCCAGAGCAGGATATTGGCTAAATTACACATGAAAGCAGGGACATTTGAAGGAAGCTTGAGCACTAAATATTATGATAAATTACGGTCTAATACGAGAAGATAAGTCACAGCTAAACAAGAATAATACGGGCTTGCACGCAGTGGGGGAGGGAAGTGTTTTTAATGCAGAGTTGCACTTTTTATTGGAAAAACATGCATGTTAAAGGTATCTCTAAACATTTGACAAAACACTCACCTCGAGGTTCATTTAGTTGCTGTTCTGGAGCTCTCAATAATATCATATTATCTTCATCAGCAGATGGAGTTCGCTGGTTGTTATGTTGTTATGGAACCGTAGATGTTCAGATTTCCATTTTTTTCCTGAGCGCTCCTCGAAAACTTGATTTAAGTATTTCTCTGTAACATTTAATGTTCACAACTGAATTGGCAACAATCAAAGTTAAATTTGAAAAAAACAAAACAATCAGTTATAATTCAGTAATAATGTAGAGTTTAACACTCACAGATCTGCTTCATCAGGACGCTATGGTGTGATCAGATGTGACTGACAGTGGTCTGGCAACATGAACAAACAGCCCCACAGCTGTCACATTTTAATTCAAATACTGTGAATGGTGCACAGAGATACCTCACTGTCCTCCATATGAGCCCACACAAACACAGCGCAGATAGAAATCTCTAATGTGACCAAAACACTTCTAACTTTGTCAGAATATTTTGTGTTCACGAAACAAGAACCCACCATTCATAGATTTATACATTTAAATACATTTAATAAAAGGACTTCTTGTTGATGCTTGCTCATTAGTTATATAATAAAAGTTAGAATATCTTACAAGCTATAATATCTATAAACACATTTGTGTGCTGCCTTTGATGGCACATTCTTACAGCGTTGAATGTAATCTCTTTATGAATTGGATTTGTCATTTGAAATCTGATGGAATAGTTTGACATTCTGGGAAACAGCTTATTTGCTTTCTTGTATAGAGATATATGAGAAGATTGATACCATTTTTATGTTTGTACAGTAAATGTGAAGCTGGAGCCAGAAGCTGGTTCGGTTAGATTAGAACAAAGACTGTAAACAGCTAGCCTGGCTCAGTCCTAAGGCATCAAAATCCACCCACAGAATGTCTTTTTTACACTTTGATTTTTGTAAGGATTAAACAAACAAGAAGTGTTAATTGCTAAGATTTAGAGTTGCTGGGTGGCTGATTTTGTACCTTTGGACAGAGCCAAGCTGGTTTGTTTCCCGTGTTTCCAGTCTTTATGCTAAGCTAAGCTAACAAGCTACGGGCTCCAGCTTTATATTTAACAGACAGATGTGAGAGTGGTATCAATCATCTCATCTAACTCTCGACAAAAAAGTAAATAGCGTATTTTCCAATATGTTGTTAACTATTCCTTTAATTAATTCGTCATCAACTAGAAAAAGCAGGTGAAGGCTTGATTCTGTGTTCACTGGTCAAACCTCCAGCCAAAATCTACACCCTCTCACAATTTGCATTAGATTTGCTTATCATCCACACCTCTTGTCCTCAATCTTAGTTTGCAGGAGCTCCCCTCCTTCACCCCATCCATTCCCATCACCACCATCCCCCACATACCATGCACCTTCACCCCTTCAGCCAACCCCCCCTCCCCACTCCTCCCGAACCCCTCTAAGTGGATACCCCACAGGAAGGGCTTCTCCAGGGGGGAAATGGGTCCCAGATGTCTGCCTTTGTGCCACTACAGGCTCCTCGGGAGGGATGGAGCTGTGGAAGGGTGGGTATGGGGCGGAGGACGGTGTAGTGTGCTGTGTGCAAACATCAATAACAGCAGCCAGGAGGGTGAAGAAACTCCCGGGGTGAAGGTGAGGAGGAATTTAATGATTAGTTCCTTTTGTCAAGCCTGTATGGATTTCTAAACACATCATTTATGATTGGTCACACTGCTGCTCTCCTACCAGCTGAGTACGTCACCGCAGCGCTTTGACCTCTCGGTGTATGATGGTAATTGAATTGACTGCATTACGAACTTAAAGAAACTGTTTTTTTTTTCCTGGAGAACTTCAAAAGTTTCAACATGGCCGCTCTTCAGCGCAGTATTTCAGTCAGGACCAAACCATATGTTGTAGAGACAGAAACAGACAATACATTGGTCGTCTTTGATATCCAAGCCCCACCCCCCCAGTGTGTGTAAGCCAATATATATTGATATATATTGATATATGTATGATCTATTTTCATCTCCAGAAAGGGTTAATTATGACCCCCATGGAAATAAAACGAAGACGAGAGCAGGGCCTGAGTGTTTAGTGAAACATTATGTCAAGACTCTGACAAGGAAATGAAATGTGCAACATCAATCAGCCTATGAGGACAGAGATCAAACGAGCCTCCACACTCCTGCATCTGGTTCTGTTTGGACAGCCTCACTTTTTTCCCCCTTCTCCCTCTCCTTTCTTCTCCTTTTCTTTTTCCCCTTTTCTTATTCTTCTCCCATTCTCTCTCTCTTTTCTCTCTCCTTCTGTTCTTCTATGCGCCACGACATTCCTGCAGGCCTACTCGCTTCGTTAGCTCATTTTTTCCATGATGGTGGCACGAAGCCACGCTTTCGCTAAAGGTAAGCGGCAGCTCCTGAGATTAGCCTCAGCAACAATGACTTTCCTGTCCCTCCACTGTCTCCACCAGAGCTCCCAATAAGCCTCAATTCTAATACCAGTTAATCCTGGAGTTGACTTTGCCTGTTATGTAAATACAACCTCTTATAATTCACTGTCTCTGTCCATGGCCTTGCTTTGATGGCCAGATGAGTTTTTTTTCTCTTCCAAGTTGATTGAACCCAACTGGGATCGAGCTACTTTCCGTTCAACGTCCCTCTCTGAATGAAATGTAAACCAGTGCAATCACGGGGCTCATCAAAAATCTTCTGAACTGCTCTCTGCACATACGCTCCCTCAAATGCCACGGCAATCACACCCAAATTGTTGGCTAGAAGCTGTCAAGCAGCGTGTCAAGAAGGATACAAGGTTTAGTTACAATCCAAGAAACTTTTGTTAGTAAATAATACAGGTTTCTGGACGGCTTGTCTCTTGTTACAACGTCAGATAACATCTCTGGACAACGAACAGGGAATTTTAATCATTTTTTGGAAACATGAAAGATGAAGCAACTCTTGTAAAAAAAAAAAATATGGTTGGAGGCGTTGAAATGTAAAGACTGCTGTCATCAAAAAGTACCAGATTTCTACAGCTTAGAGTAGCGGAAAACTCCCCACAAGATTTCTCTGCACTGATCCACACATGAGTCATTGAAGTCATGACGCATGAAGGTATAAAAAGACGCAATGTTGGGAAACTGATTTGGATTCAAAGGTAGATATACGCAAGAATTAGTAATTTGTCCAAACTGTAAATTTTTCTATCTTGATGTCTAAACAAGGATGGAACAAACATGAGCCTTTGGTCATGTCTTATCATTTTTCTCAAGAAGACCTGTCTGCTGTGTCATGACTTTCAACATGTAGAAAACGTGTTTAAGTGGCTGCAGACCCAGATGGGTTCATGGTGTGGAGGAACATGTGTCGGCTCTGCCTCGAGGCCGTGGATGGCACAATTAGGTGCTCTCTCACCTCTGCAGACTGAGGTCACTGGGCCACTGAGGTCAGGGGTTATTTAGGGTCCTGTCTGTGTTCCTTTCCCAACCTAACACTGATGACTGGGACAGCTGACCTCAGCAGGGATGTTAGAGGTGTTTATTCACTGAGAACTTTTCTAAACCAGGCACTGGTTAGGTGCCCGGTTTAACGAATGCTTTAGGAGGTTTTAGTATAGTTTAGTGTACATCAGCATTTACAAAGACATTCATGTGTCAGGAAAAAGCTCATCTTGTGAAATTCTTTCCAGGATGCATGCTTGCACAACCTCACATTTTCTCTCAGATCTACTTAAAGCTGCTGCGGCAAAACAGATTTATGAAAAATCCTTTTTTTGGTTTTCCAGGACTTTACGCTCTGTCATGGCAAACTATATAATTTGTGCCATTTATAAACATAAATTCCACATCATAAAGAACATTATTTAACCTATAAATCCTCCTTCAGTCTTTTAATCTGTTGTATTTTCATTGACTCAATCCATGTTGTGACCCGTGATTTCACAAATTCTTTTTTATAGTGTCTGGTTATCAGAATGATAAAAACCATGGCAAACAAATGTTAGTGTGAACTCACACTTGTTCTCATGTTAAAGGACAAAATGAAAAACTTTTAGCACTACATCAGCGCACATGATTTATGGCTTTTGCACATTTGTTGTAGGAAAAAGCTTTTAAGGATGTGTGTACATAAAAATACTTTATGATAAGTATACAGCGTTAAAGTTTACATTGATTATTGGCAGAAATCAAAGGTTTAGAATGGTTTCTGTCCACATAATGAATTGATGAATGAGAACGCAGACACAAGGGTGCATGCGGACTGACGCTCCAGCCCAAATCTGGAACCCATAAAGCCTCAGACATCTCTGCAACATTAGACACAGCTCTTCTTATTGGCTGATAGAGCCACTTACCCCCTTCCTCTATCGCCCGCCCAGCTAACACATACTTCCTGCTTCTCTGCCTGGCTCTGGCCGAACCACGCCCTCTGGAAGTCCGCTCAGCCAAAGAGAACTGCCCGCAGGCCCCGGGTTAGCGTTTGGGTATAAAAGAGGCGGAGGTGGACCTGCCTGTCAGATGGTTTGTTGTTGTTCTGTCTGCCAGGTTGAGAAGGGAATGTGAAAGTGAGAAATTTTATAAGGTAACCAGGAAACCGGACAGCCAGAGCGACTTCCAATCCGATGGAGCTTCAGAAGCCGTAACTTTCTTTGACAAGAGAAGACTTTCGTTACGCAAGTGTTTCAAGTTCAGGTTTGTTGTTGCTTTAAAAGAGCTTCACAGCGTCCTGTCTTTGCAGTGGAGGTTAAAAGGTTGTTGGTGGACAGTACAATGAGAGAAGAGGTGTCCTGCACCAACTCCCCTGAAGGAGGTCTGGGGGCCAGCGAAGAGGAACTGGAAAGAGGATCGAAGAAGACCCACCAGCAAGGAAATCGAAAACGTTCCCCTTACCCCAAGAAGGACAGCCTTGGTCAGGCAGAGGAGAGCAGCACCGGCAGCCCGACCAGCCTGCTGCCGTCTGGGCCAAAGAGGACGAAGAAAAGCCCCTCAACAGTCGTGTCGTTGGCCCCCACGCCGCTGGGCCCTCGGCTGGACCAGCCCTTCGAAGACCTCCATTCTCAGCGCGTCATTGCCAACGTGCGGGAGCGTCAACGCACTCAGTCCCTGAACGATGCCTTCGCCTCCCTACGCAAGATCATCCCTACGCTACCTTCGGACAAGCTGAGCAAGATCCAGATCCTGAAGCTGGCCTCACGCTACATCGACTTCCTCTACCAGGTGCTGCAGAGTGACGAGATGGACGCCAAGCTGGCCAGCTGCAACTACCTGGCCCACGAAAGACTGAGCTACGCCTTCTCCGTCTGGAGGATGGAAGGGGCCTGGGCCATGTCCACCAGCCACTAGGATCCCATCGAATCTCTCTCCTCAACCCTCTCGTGTCCACATCTTCACCCCACTGCCTCTGTCTGTGTTTGCACCCATTTCCTGACCTCTGAACCTCTGAATTCTTCCCTTTTGGTCTGCTCTTAACCTTTTCCTCTCAAACCTTTGCACACATTCCTGCTCGATCTATGTGCTCCATAATGGTTTACTCCATCTCTACTCCAGTATTAACATCCATAGTTGGATCCTTGCAACTAAAACCTCTCTCAGTTCACCTTGTTCCCCTCCATTGTTTCCACTTCCACTGTCTGTCCTACAGTTTTGTCCAGTGCAACAAGACGCTCCGCTGCAGCCCCTCAGGTATGGACAAAATATGCAAACACACGCACACACACACACTCACACACACACACACACACACACACACACACACAGACAGTACAAATACATGCAACACATAAAAAAAATCACTCAAACATGCACACGTGTACACACACTTCTGTACTCACCATGTCATCAGCACATGGATATGGATATATACATGTTTAATGTGTATTTCTTCCCAAAATAGTCTGTGTTTCAGTACATTATTTGTAGCTCAACAAATAAATAGCGCATATGCATTTCACAAACAAACTACACAGGCAGGAATTTGAAAAACATCTACTAATCTGTGCTGGTCACTTATTAAAAGATCTCTTAAAATGTCCTGTTTAAATAACAACATGAACATATTCCAAACTTTGATTTTATAAATCATTGTGAGACATGCAGCACATAATGAAATCACAGATGTATTCAGACTCAAGAATTTAAAGCGTAGTTGTTGCACATTTATAACTCTGAATAAAGAGATTAATTTATAAATTAATAATAAAATCCAAAGATTTGTAACCAGTTAAAATGTGTGTGACTGAAACACATCAGCACATGCTGAGTGGGCCTTTGTTTACATACAGTACTTATTCGTTTTGATATTTACAATTTATAAAGTTTTGTTTAACTTTCCATTCAGGTGTATAAGTACATCATGAACTTTGGGTAGTTTTAGATTTTGAAACTTAGAATTGGTACGTAAATACACAAAAATTGTTGTCCAAGATATATAATAATATTTTGGCAAAAGATAATCTCAGCTTTATTATAAAGAAATTATATAACTAATTCTGATGTTCTAATGTGAAAATGTTTCATTATAAATTGTTCTGAGACAATTATCTTCAGTAGTTACATAAAAAATGAAATTGATCACTGAACACTCTAACTGTTAAACTTATTTTATTTATTTATTATTATTACTTTTTACTGATTTTGTGTAATAGTGTAATAGTGTAGTTAGTGTAATATGTTTAATAATTGGCTGATATTTATTTGTTTCTTGTTACATAGAAACATAATTGGTTAATAAATGTTATGTAGCTCAGACAACATCCAGTAAGTTCTCAAATAAAATTAAAAGTGTTGGTTTGCAAATTATTCTTTTGAATGCAGAAAAGATGTCACTGTCCTCAAAAAAAAAGTAATTTAAAAAATACAAATATGACCACAAGTAAAAAATGGATCCAAACAAACCTACATGTAATATATAACTTAAAACATTCATGTACTACAAGATGCTTAACATGAAATTATACATTTAAAAACGATCAACAAATTAGTTATACAAATGATACTTTTAAAATCAGACAAAAGTATCAAAATATCAGTAAAGAGACATAAAAGAAATCCAAACACATCCAGCATATGAATAAACCTCTCATGTTGGTTGAGCACTGATTAAAAGAAAGCATTTTTAGTTGTTCCACTTTTTTAACTAAAATGAACTAGCTGCACATTATCACCATGGTAATCTAAACTCCCCAGTGTTTGACAGACCTCTGATGTATTTAAGACAAATGTTTTCCTCCAGAATCTGTAGGATCGACTTCACACAGGGTCTGTTTTTTTTCAACCGTTTTAACAGACACCAGATTCCTGCACAGGTACAGCATGAAAGGAGGAAAAGAAAGGGAGAGTGAAGAGAAATAAGTGGAGGCACATCTCTCTCCCTTTCTCCCTCTCCCTCTCTCGCTCTCTCTCTCCCCTGCAGCCTTGCCCTCTCTCGTCAGGATCTTGTATCGTGCAATCAGGCCCCGCCGGGGCCCAGACAAGCAGGAACCTTTAGATTGGAAACAGTTGTGAGGTATTAGGAAGGTGTGTGTACCAGGGTTAGGGTCAGGCACACAGGCCTGTGTGTGTCAGCGCATGTACATGTGCACCGGTGTGTATTTGTGTATGTGTGTGTAGTGAGCTTTAATTACCTGTGCAGCAGCGCGCACAAGCATGTGTGAGTGTGTATATGTGAGCACATCTGCAGATTAGTAAACAGGAATACACTTGCAGATGTTGTTTCAGTGATTTTATCTCTCCCGTCTCCTGGTTTTAGTTTCATAAGACTTTCAGTTTCATTTTTTTGCAAAGAGGCAGCCAGGAAGTCCTTCAAATAAAATGACAACATACAAGATAAGCATTTAAATGAAAACAGAGCGACAGGCTGAAATGTGATGAGGTGCAGAGACAGTGGGCAGATGAATGTGTGTTGCTGTGCTGGCGGGAAATACACACTTTTTCATCAGCTAGATGGCAGGTCGAGGTAAACACATTTCAAACAGGCACACACACACACACTGACACAGATCTCTGAGCAGACATATAAATGATTACAAGCATTCGCACAGAGTTGCACATTATTCACCAAGTAGGAATCAGTGAATCACACTATAACTATACTACAAGTACTATTACACAGGCTGCCTACAACACATATATACATTACACTGTCCAGACACACACACACACCCAGCCGCCGGCCATGTGCACACTGCAGGTGTTCCACTCTGCATTATTACTAAACCTCCAGTGGCCTCTGCAGCAGACGTCGAGGGCTCCAGTCAGTGCTGTGGATGGAATGCCAAGGCCCCTGCACGTGGAGCAGAGTGTCCTTGAATGCAGCGCGGTAGTTATTACCTACCACTTTGCCTGCTCTGCCTGTTATCATCAGCTCTGCAGGGACCACCGTAGAAAGTGCTAGAAATTCAAGGCCTGAAACTGACCCGAACGTCGTAATTTAGGAAAGAGGTGAGGTTCGAAAGAGGCTGAGAGACATCAAAGACATGTGTGCATATGTGTGTGTGTGTGAATACCACCAGAATGTCTGAATATTAAAGTTGCAGCTTCAAAGTTTTCTGAAAGCTTAAAAACCTTCTGCTTCTCTTTCTCCACCTCTCTTCTATGGTAGGTGTTATATATAAGGCGGACAAAATAATTGGAACACTTGACAATACATCAAAGTGCATAACGTTTAGTTTGTGTTGAGTTTGTGTTGAGGCTGTAACTCATGTTGATGTATTGGATTGCTGTAAATTGTAAGGTTACCCACCAAACACAGTTTTTTGGTAAGAAAATAATTGGTTTGACTTGGGTTTATGCCTCTATGGATATCTCTAATATTTTGTACTTTTAGTGTCGAAGAGCCTTGTGAGTCTATATTAGCACACACATAAACATGAATACACAGCGGACAGTCCTGTGCTTCTTGATGAGCATGATTTTAGGAATTGTGGGTGTCTGGCTCCGAATGAGACTTTTAGAATAAAGAGATATTGTTCTGTTTGAGTTGGAAAAAACAATACTCTCCCTTCTGTTTATACTATAATCAAAATGCCTGTCACTGCTCTTTCCTCTGCCGGAACCTCTGGCTCTGCTGCGTCCACGCATGTGTGTGTATTTTACAGTTTGGACTGACCAGCTGTTGGATGCTCTTCTGTGCATATTAAATCACTGGCTTTGACTCCGGACTGATCTGAGACCAGATGTAAAGTCCTCTGCGGCTCATCTGCGTTTTAAAAGCCTCATCCAGAAGTTGTGGCTTCTGATAGTCATCTTTATTTTTAGAGAGCCAAACTGTGAGTCGAGTGCAGGTGGGAGGGTTGTGTGTGTGTGTGTGTGTGTGTGTGTGTGTGTGTGTGTGTTAGAGTGTGTACATTTGACTGCACTATGCACATGTGCTTGTATTTGTATGTGTGTTGGCCTTGCTGAGACAGCTGCAGGGATAGAGAGCCATGGAGGAATGACTACTGGTTTGACACGTAAGCAACACAACGCCACATAACTTCCAAAAGATCCAAAATGCATCTGGATCTGTCAAACATTTACATGCTTGTACATTCGTAGAAACAGGAGAGAGAGAGAGTTATGTGAGTCAGGTGCAATTTAAAATGTTTAAATAATTTTTAATGTATAAAATAAAAATAAATGCTCCTAAAAAAACTCTTCAAATGTGTTTACTTTAATTATTCTTTTCTGTGAATCTCTTCTGCTTAGGTAGGCAATCTGAATCCAGTGCAGTTGTGGCGGACTCCGCCATTACCAATAAAAACTACAGAGAGGTAATTACTGAATCTAAATATATTAAATGGCTACTGCAGTATCAACAATTATGTTTGATTTCATGAAAATCTTAAGCATTGTAACTTTAAATATTATATGAGCAGACAGATCAGTGTATGTTTCAAAAGTAACTTCAGTTTAAAGAAAAAAAGAGAGAAAAAAATCAAAAGAAACACCAGAACAGAGGTTGCTCTGCACTTTCTTACATTACATGACAATTTACACATTCACGCTTTTATGGCATAATGAAAGTCATGTGATGGGATGACACCCACAAACATGTGTCTGACTCTTTCTTGCTGGACTTGTTTCTCTTTCTGTGTGTCTTTTTCTTGAAGCATGGAAAGGCACACTGTAATTAGGGAGAACTGAGAACGCTCCGGATGAAATGTTTGCTTGTTAAAACAAGAGAGGAAAAGTTAAGGAGCTTTAGGGATTTTTCCACTTTCCACTAAACAGAAGTGTTTGTTTGTTTGTGGACTCATTTTATAATCTCTCAACACACATCTCAAAGACATTCAGTGGAATGACAATTTCAGAATGACACTCAAGTGTGAAATGTCTTATCTAAAAGTGAAACTCATCTCTGTGTTTCTCATCCCTGCAGAAAACCGACAAATGGAAAATTCTCTACACTCTAAGAAGAAATTTGTTCCTGCCTCACCAGACAACCCCTGATTTTTTTTTTTTACCCTTTTTTCTCTTTCTCTGGACACGTGCTCAACTCATGACACTGAGATGTATTCTTGCAGCTTGACTCTTTCCCTTTGTGTTTCTAAAACACTTGCGAGGAGACACGACAGTCAAGCGCTGAACATTTTGAATTATGAAAACAAGAACAAAACAAACAGCTGGCCTGCGTTGACAATGAAACAAAATGGCTGCTGGTTCGAGTGCCTTGGGTAACACCGTGATAACCATCATCCACCCGACTCTTCGCATCGGATGACTTACTGCCAGACAGACATTATGATGACTAATGATAATGGCACAGTGATGGTTAGAGGGCGGTCACAGCCAATGAATGTTTACAGCTAAAATGCTAATAAGCTAATCGCTCTGGCTCTCAAAGTCCCGTCTTGTGGGAAAAAGAGGAGCATGAGGAATCTGACGCAGATCTTCTACTTTGTTGTGCTGTAGTAACTGGATAGCCTTCTGTGTATTTGGGGTTTTTAAAGTGTATCTGTTTGTGAATTTGGTGTATGCACACTGTATTACTTCAACTCTGCTCATGCATTCCTCTCGGCTTTAACAGAAACTGTCCATGGGAAAACGTCTTAAACCACTGATCACAGTTCAGCCACCATTCATTCAACTTCTGTGTATTTTCACTTCAGTGTTTCTGTTATTAGCGAGTGTTGCAGAAAGTTGTATTTTGAAATGCAAGAAAATCTGATTGTTTGTCTTTTTTCCTGCAGCTTTAAGAAATATCTTTGCAAACTTGCTGTGAGCGTTTCCACTGAATAATGCAGAAGTAAAAGCAGAAACGTTTTTTTATAAAATGTGTCAAAGTGATGAAGTGATTCCAGCCGTAGTATAGAGGATTCATTTGAAACCATAAGTAGTCTAATTACTGTTTGATCATGTTTCTTTTGTACTGTTTTGCATTTGCTTTTGATAATCTTTATTGTGTCGGCTCCTGTGGACAATAAAACCTTTCTCAATGCTGTATATCAGTGTAATATTTTGACAATCGAAGGAATTATATGTGAGAGATATGAGAGGAAGTTGTGGTGAATCTGCTACAATACAGTAACACAAGATTAACAAAGTTCAAAGACGAAGGAAATAAATGAATGATCATATTCAAATGTATATAATTTACCTTTATTAAGGATTTTTTTTGGAATCAAAAATAGTAGAATAGAGAGAGGCAGACAAAAAAAACAAAGTCAATATGTACACAGTACAGAAACAAAATCAGAGTCAGGTATGACGAAACTGGACTTTGCCTGCAGTTTTAATTAAGATCCAGTTTGTTAAGGCTACCTTCACACAGGTTGGTCAGCATGATACTTCAAGGCACACGGGCTGATAATTTGGTCTCTGCGCATGTAAAGGGTTCATTTTTGAAATCAAATACAAAAATAAGTCATCTGCATTAATTAAGACAAAATATAAGACATCAGGTATGTCAGGTCACTGTCATGAAAGTTAAAACTACATAAAGCTACACTCGGACTGTCACACGTGATCTGGAGGTGAAACTGCTCCACGCTATCTCACCGTCATTTGTTTTCACATTTTCAGTATATTAAGATTTGACATGTTTTGAGTCGCATACACATAATGCAACATAAAGAAAGAAAGAAAGAAAGAAAGAAAGAAAATAGCAAACATACTGCACCTAAAAAAAATAATCCATAGCACCGTCAAAATTGTGTTAGACATGCAAAGAGCACTTCAAAGACACAGAATCTGAATGTATAAATAGAAGTCACGTAGGTTTTTTTTCTTTTTTCTGAGAGAAATGAATTTGTTTATATATCCATCCTGTGCTTTTGGTGCTGTTCAACTGTTTGGATAGAAAAAAAGAAACATTCACAAACTCTTCAAAGTCTTTGAAGTTCTTTAAGCCATGCCAGTCCAGGGACGGCACATTGTTCTCATAAACTTTGGTTGCGCTTAACCTGTGTCCAATTGCACTGTGAGGATATTCAACTATATCTCAGTATTACTGCTCCATCCTAACTGCTAAAATTTGTTGTTTGGTCCGGGGAGCAAAAACATCCCCGACGATGACGGTACAGAGAGCATCAATGATGAACAGAGGACAGATCAGTTTGTCCTTGTTATGAAAGAAATACAAGTATAAAATACATTTACAAAATACAGCAGGAATGCTCATCCACAGGTAGAAACACTGGTCCATTTAACAAACATTATCAAACCTCTGATTTTAAGACCCAAGTCATTCTGAACCTGAGGCCACTGTAAGTGCACGTTAAATGTGTGATTGTCAGCAAGTCTTTGAATGAGTCTCATCCAAAATGTTATAAATCTCCTGACAGAGGAGCGGTGATCTGCATTGTCTTATATACAATCATTTCTGAGTGGTCACACTGCACTGAGGCATCATGGGTGATTTCTTTCTTTGAGGACATGTAAAGAATCTCTTTTAGGAACCTTTTGAAGTGATTACTTTCTCCCCTGATATTGATACACCAATGACTGGAGGTATTAGCTCTTCATTGTGACTAATGCCACCGATACAAACTACAGTATGTCTACACATTTAAGATGAACTTCATCAAAGACTGCTGTGTCTTCTTTTATCTGCCAGGGTGCCGTAACAATAACTAAAGACATCTAGAGTCTTGATGCATGTGCTCGCCCGACAGGCCAAGAAAGAAAAAAAAAGATTTAAGAAAATATGTGGACATACAAAACAATATGAAACATATGTATCTCAGACTTTACTGTAGCTTCACTCTTACTGGATTCTTTAAAAAAAAAAAAAAGATCTGCTGACATTCACAAAAATGTGTGCCATAGGTCAGATGAATGAATATTCAAATAAACTAAATATACAAGCAAACAAGATGTTTGATTGTCAACATGGCCGACGTGGCTGCGTCTCCTCCATCTTGTCCAGTTCACATTACAGAACGGTACAGTGCAAAGCGATCAGAAACTCCTGATCTTTTTCCTTCATAGGGTTTGTCATATGAAGACAAATGACATCATCATAGTGGGACGCGTTTTAAGTGCAGAGGAGATGTCTGCTCTCCTTCACCGGCACGTCCTGCAGGGACGACTCCTTCCGCTCTGAGTGATTGGCTCCAGTAAGCCAAGGTGACCTTTGACCCCCATCCTCAAGGTTACGACAGTCCGAGTGGTCTCTCTTGCGGGAGTCATTTACAAGGTGAATGTTCAAAGTTGTTGAGCTGTGCTTTGTCAAACGTGTGTTCATTCGACGTCATGTTGTCAGCTCCCAATACCACAAGAGAGTGAAGATCCTTCATTAATCTGCCTTTGGTTCTCTTTCTTTACATTTTTTTTCTCTTTTTTTAGAGGCGTCATGACAATATGAATGTTGCCCAGGTGAATGCTGTGTGTTTGGATCAGAGAGGTCTGACTGCAGCCAAAAGTATTGCAGGTGGAGGAGTTTTTGTGAGGTGATGAATACAGTGGTTGAACTGAGGAGGAGGACATCTGCTTCCAGTGATGGTCCAAATGCATAGCTGTATGTGTGTGTGTATGTGTGTGTGTGTGTGTGTGTGTGTGTGTTTCCACTGAGACTTGGTTGAAGGCAGCTGTCAGGAGACTTTCTTCAGAGACAATCACATTTCTCTGTCTGTTTTTCTGGCTGTCTCCTAACCAGACGAGAGAAAGAGAAGGATTTTATGATTCATAAAGTGCAGTACTGTGATGTTGCTGAAACAGAAGATACTAAATACCGCGTCGTCCTTACTTGTCAGAGGCGACAGATTCCATCGACAGCGAGGCGATGGCGCTGACGGCCTCGCTGTCTGAGTCTCGTCTCAGCCGTCGTCTCTGCGCCTGTAGGTAGGTCAGATCCACTGTGGCGGCCGAATCCTTCACACTCTGCCAGTACTCACCTGCAGTAGGCAGGAAGATTAAAAAGAGGGAGCAGAGGAAGGAAAGAGAAGGATTATTGGCCTCAGTTGTCGGTATTTCAGTGTTGTTTTCATCCTGAATGGTTCCTTGAGGGAAAGCGCCTGCACTGCATTATTAAAAAGCAGTACTTGGAGTTTGATCCACCAGTTGTAGCTGTTTGATCTGAATATAAGCATTGACTGTGATATAAACAGCCCATGGTCTAAATGTCCATGTTGCTAATTTCAGAAATGTAAACTCAAATTCAATATGTTCTCTCAAGGTCTCCAGGCTTGGGTCCTGTGACACACAGTGGAAGTAAAAATCAATCAGTGTTTGCAAATGTGTCCGTCTATGAGCGTGTGTGTGTTCTGGCTGTGCATGCAACTCACATTTATTTCACCCCGGGCCTAAATTATGGGCTTAACATTCTTGTGGCTTTGCAAATATTTTTAATTAATCTAATTTGGTTGGGATAACATTTGTGTGCAATCAGGAGGGGATGTTGCGAAGGTCGTGTGCCAGAGAAGTGTTTGAAGATAATTGGAGCCAGGGCGGCCGTATGTGTGTGTGTGTGTGTGTGTCTGTCTGTGTGTGGGACGGCTGGAGGGAGGGATGGGAGACAGGGATGTAAAGGAGGAGAGGTGGCCAGAAAGCTGGGGGGATGAGGAGACAGAGGGAGGTGCTAAGTGGAGAAATAAAGAGACCAAACTTACAGAGAATAGAAATGCAAAAAAAGAAGTTCTGAACAGAACTCTTTTATTTTCTGTTAAATGTAAAGACGAAAATAATCAAACTAGAATATGGCAAATACTACTTTTTTTTTATCAAACCGATTTTTTTTAATCTAAAGTGAAATGTTGTTAGTTTTCAGTTCCAATACAAATTTTAAATGTTACTTTGGAAGTCCTGATATGTTGACTGTAAAATCCCTGTCATTATAACTGTACTGTAATTTTACTATCCTCCTCTGATGCTCTTCCAGTGGTGCCTTTCTTTTGACCTGAAAGGTTTTTTGACGAGTTTTCCTTGTCTGAATAGAGGGCGTAAAGATAGAGGATGTTGTTTGCTGTACCGGTTGTACAGAAGCTCTGTGTCATTTGGGGCTATATCAATAAAAACTGACTTGGCTTTAAATGCCGCCATGGGTGAGGTGGTGAACATAAGGTGGTGTATTTCTTTGATCTCATCTTCAAATAAAAGCATGTACTTCAGCCAACACCAAGGAGCAATAACAACCTGGCCATTACAAACCCTTTCCTGAAAACCCCATTTTCTTGGTTTATATTGGAAGCCAACTGATGGAAATATATTTATCTGACTTTTACTGCAACATTTCTACAATGTACATGTACATTTGCTTGGCAACTGAAGCAGCATATGACTGACAGTGACTGAGAGAGAGAGGAAGTAAAGGCAACTGATACAGATAATGTAGGTGAGGGGAGAAATCGTGCAGTTACAGGTTAGATAAAGAAAAATGAAGAATGAAGAATGGAAACAGCAAATGAAGGCAGTGAACAGTTTTTACTTGTTTCTAAGTGCAAACAGCTAGTAGAACTACTAGTGGAATAACAGATCAGCACCAGTGTTCAACATATGGATGTTCTCTAAACCCCCTGGCAATGTCAAAATCTTAGTCTGGTCTCAGAATTATGAGAAATGATTTCCATCTTTAAATATTGAAAGGTGAAGAGCAGCGTGATGCGACAGTGAACAGGCAGCTGATACTGGTGCTGCTGGCTTGGACACCGGAGCCAGTTGGAACTTCTGAGCTCTGCGGTTCTGCTCTTCCTCTCCATATCTGAAAAACCTAATTTATGCCTTATGTCCTTTTTTTTTTAGAAGTTCTTGAATTTAGAGACAAAATAATAACATGAGGTTTGCGGATATGCTAGTCTGCTGCTCTTTTACAAATGAACCGAACAGTTACATCAACAGTTAAATCTTTTCAGAAGATTTACTGCCTGCACAATCTACACGCGTCACTGTGTTCTTCTTTATTTATTTTTTAACATCTATTAAGTTCCTACAGTTTTTGCTGACCACCCCTCTCAGAGCATATTTGAGGGTCTGTAATTGACTCAGAGATAGCTGCAGCTACCGGGTCGGTTCCAGCAGGTTGAGGCTCAGGCTGCTTGATGTTGGCAAGAAATCTCAAGACTACGATGCTACAGGTTGTGTTGCGTGTTCAGTTCTCACCCTGAACCTGGATGACTCTCTGCAGTGACTCAACAGCATTTTCACAAGGCTTCCGGTCCAACACCGACTGGGACAGTGGCTCCACCTGGGACACAACAAGAGGTAAGTATACTGTACATCTCTATAGAAACACACGGATGCATTGTACATACAGACATACACAGATCTCACCTCCATGCCCAGCAAGGCACTGACGCAGGCCTCAGAGGCATCGCAGATGGCCTTGAGGTCATGTCCCCCCTCCAGAGCCAGGACCACCCGACCCCCGGCCAGTGACATCAGCTGACGGGTCAGGAAGCCAAAACCTGGTAGAGAGCAACACACATACACAGGATGAGCCAGATGATGACTAGTGAGGGATTTCTCTCTAGATACTGATTTAGGAGATTAAAGGATTCCTTCAGTGTTGGTGAAAGTTAGTGTCAGCCTCTAACTCACAAAACTGTTGTTGATGTTTACATGCTGGTGTAACCATCATTAGTTCAGCCATTCCCTTCCATTCAGATCAGTGCTCAAATGCACAATTTACAACTATAAGATTTAGGATTCAAAGGCTTTATTGTCAGAAATAAACAAGTTATCAATGCAATGAAATTCTTATTCCGCCATGGTGCCATCAATAACTCAATTAAAATTTACTAGAAACTAAGTTTAATAAATAAATAAAAAATAAGAAAAGTAAATAAATAAACAACATAGAATAAGAAAAGTACTGTAGGCAGACACACACCCACACATTCATACATACTGACGTAGACAAGGTGGTAATGGTTTAAAAAAAGTAGTTCCTGAAAACAAACATTTTCTCAAACCAGTGCGCCAACAAACTTTACTTTCTCTCCGTAGTTTCACTCAGGAAGTTTGGGCTAGTTTAATTAAAACTCCTGTATTACACAGTGCTTCTCACCTGATGCTAATGTCTGACATCAATGAGCTATTCAGCTGTGAACCACCTGAAAACAGTCTGTGAGGAATGAGCCAGCTTTATGGTCCTCCAATTTGTCTCATAAATTAGTTGGAGCTACCTATTAACACAACAATCTGCTTGGTGTCTGCTATTGTGCTGCATTCAAAATGAGGACAAATAAATATTAATTCTAACCAGAGGTAAAAAATAAAACAAAAGCAGGTTCATATGAGGCAGAAATGAATCAGGAAACTAAGTCTCACTTTCACCAACAGCAGATAAATCCCTCATTAAGCTAAACGTGTAGATATGTATAAATAAGTACAACAGATTATAGTCAGTGCACAAGACTTTGTCAGTGTGACTGTGTGCTTCGTCTGAATGAGGGCCTGACGGAGCCTTACACTTGGCTGTGACCTTGTAGCCTCCCAGTGATGATGAATGTCCTTCGACAGCATCAAAGCCAGCTGACACCAGCACCACATCAGGAGAAAACTCGTGGGCAATGGGCATCACCACGGCTCTGAGGACGAAGGGAGGAAACAACATTCTGTAAACCAAATACTGTATCCATTTTACATTCATTCAAACCCTGTGGCCTGGCTGAAATTAGATAGTACATTTAAGAAATGTGTTTTCAACAGGTGTTCATAATTTATGGAAAAATGAGAACTTGGAACAGCGAATACAATATAATACTGTGAGAGAGGAAGTCATTGTGGGTTTGATTTAACATCAGAATAGACTGAAGAAGGTTACTTATTGTAATTAACGGAATTTTAAGTTTCCTGTAAAGTAAAAAAAAACAAACAAAAAAACTGAAATCACTGCATAGTTGAGATGATTGATTTGCGAGTGGAACACTTGTACAATGTCAGACTTTTTTTCTGGATTGTTAACTGCAAACATTTACTTCACTGTAAACTCCATCCATTTGAAAATGATGAAAGATAAATTATCAAAGGCCATGTTCCAAGTGCTTGATCTCCATTCTTGATCCACTCCTGGTATGAGGCCAACACTAGAAGGTGGGGTAGCTCCCAGGTGTGAATGTGTGCAACTGTTTAAATGTGAAGCAGAGCACTGCTGAAAAAAAAAGAAGCCAGGGCGCTCTGCAAACCCTCCCTGGATATATAAAGTTAAAAAAACAGTTGAAGCAAAGACTCACAACACAACTTTAGGCAGGTGGCAAATGCTGAAAGGTTTCTGTTTTTGCGAGTGACACAAGCAGATAAAAATGAGACCCTTGACATATCTGGACCGAGACGCCCACATACTGTATACTTTACTCAGGGGGGGACCACTTTCCTTGCTTCTCTGCTCTCACTCACTTCCTCTCCTTTCCCGTTGCCAGTTATTTAGCAAGAGCTCACAGCCCATGCCGCGTTTGATTCCTTCTCTCTCTCTCTCCTTCTCTCTCCCTCCCTCTCTCTCTCTCTCTCTCTCTCTCCCTCTCAGCGGCAGTTCAAAGGCGTTTGTGTGTGTCTGGTTCCTATTAGGAGCTCGTCCCTCTTCTCACGTCACTGACAGCCAGCCATCTGGGATCCATTGGGCCTAATTACGCCGCCTTTGGATTCCCTAACAATGCACCCCCCACTTCTTCTCCTCTCCTCTCCTCTCCTCTCCTCCATAGTTTGTTATTCATCAGTAGCCACCTAGAAATGCACATGAAAATATGTGCATGCACACATTCATGCTATGCACAGGCCAAAAGGTATACACACTTACATTATGCTCTTCCTTTAAAACCTGATGTTACGTGCTGAGCTACCGGTGATTAGACTGACCACCTTAGTAATCCTCCACACGTACACACACTTCGTCATGACACTTAAACTCAACGCATCTGAGCTTTCTCTTGATTGTACTAGAGTCCCACCACCACTCTCGACCACAATATTTCCCCTGTCACTAACACACACCCAAAAACAGAGACACATCATCAACAACCGCACTCTGGCTGGTTTTCTGTTCCATACTGGAGAGAAACACACAGTCTGGAACACCCCGTCGTCTAAATCATGTATTCAAATTGAATTACAGAACTGGCACCAGACTAGATACTTAATTGCATAAGCATGAATTCATGATGCATTAAATTTTGTCTGTATAGCCTGTTATGCATTTATTCGCACCAGTTAATCCACAGAATGGTGGCAAAGTCCACTGAAAAATTATTCAAACATTTGTGTGATGTATGTTTTTTCAGAAGTCTCTCCTGTGCTGTTTCATGCACTTTGCTTCTTCTAAACTATCTTGCGGCAGTTTTGCAAATCCAAATGACATTTTTACTATTCTGTTAATTAGATGTTGTTGAAATATGGGGTTTTTCCTCATGATGACATGTGACAAAGGTCTTTAGCCGGATATGCACCCTGGACATCAGAGCTACATGGTATGTGCCTCAAACCACTGGACCACCAGGACACTCCTTTTCCACAGAGCTTTGATACAGGGCAAAGTTTCTAGGGATAACACACAATACGCTACAGTACTACAGTGTGGTTAACTGAGGAAGTTTTACACATGAAAACACTTGCCATTTCCCAAACTGGATGAAAAATACCAAAACCAGACGCCTGCTCAGGAAAAGACCAGTTGTTTCTTAATTAGCATCCAGAGCTCCAGTAAACACTGGACTTAGTGTTTCCGAGCCTGCCTATTGGCTCTATGGATTTTACCAGTATGGGTTAGCTCATTAGCATCTTTCCTTTGACGAGGGGCCCACCCACTGTGTCTACTGCATGCCGAACTGTGTAGCTCTCACATACTGTTTAATCATCTGGTGGTGAGCCAGTGTTGCTGACAGAAACAGTCTGAGTTTATTAAAATATAGAGCAGAGCCATACTATATTCATTCAGGAAAAATAGCCTGAATGAAAGGAAAAGTCTGGTGAGAGCAAAGGTGTGTTTCACTAACACATGCGTGCATGGTTTGGCTCAGTAATTGATGGAGAGAGCATATCAATGTTTTGTCTAATTTCATCATTTAAAACAAATGGTGTAAATACTGATTACTGCCAACAATTTTTCAAAAGGAAATCGGGAATCAGATATGAAACCTGCTTGAGATACTACAGATGATGCATCGCAGTGAACAGTATCCAACATTACACAATAACTGCAGGATAATACAGTCAAAAGTAATGTATGTCTTATAAGTGTTGCATTCCAGTGCAGCTGGGAAGTTCTGATTTCCAAAATTTGAGAATGAGATTCAATTAGGAGGAGAAAAATAGTTGCTTTGTGTTGACACACACTTGACAAACAACCTTGAAAATGACACAACTCACCTGGAAGCTGATCTGACTGACTGAGTGAAGAGGGACAATCCATTTGTTACTTAGTGCGTTTGCGTTGTCGGTTTTTAATATATATTCTTTTAATCTTTAAGGGAGGAAAGCAGGTAAGGACCTACTGGTAGCTTTCTGACAAGATGTAGGAGTGCAATATGCAAATGTCCAGTTAATAGTTCATAGCATAGCGTCATGGCAGCACTTGAATACATCAACCCGGCAACCCTTACAAGCAACACCACATGTAACTGTAATGTAACTCTGACAAATAAATATCCAATGTAATGTTCTCAGGGTTTTAAGTTTCTGCAAGTTGATTTTTATACTGCAATGACATAAAACTGTGCTTGAACATTTAATTTTTGATTTTAAATTGTCGAGCACAACAGTATAGTGAGAAATATGATATGGCTAATAGAGACGGGTTGAGTTCACTCCTTACCTGAATGCAGCCAGGTACTCGGCATCACCCATAGGAGGGTTCAAACCCCCTGTCCATCCTACGTTTACATTGAAGCCCTCGCCTGCACCTACACCCACCTGGATGGAGGGGGAGAGAGGGGAGAGAGAGAGTGAGACTAAGAATCAGTCTCTGTGAAGATAGTTAATGAGTCCCAGTGAAAGTTGAGAAACTGTGTGACGATGACAGATTTGTGTCAAAACGTTTGCAAAATCAGCACAGCTATTGCACAACCTTGCATTGCAGCAATTGAGGAAAAGTGACTGAATCTCTTTAAGGCAACACCAGGGAGTGATTATGATTTCTAAATGAAAGACGGATGACTATTAATTCAACACCCCTGTCCCTCCATTTTGATTTTGATACAATTTGTCAAATGGCCTTATAAATCACTCTGAGCCACAACAGAGCTACACCCGTTTATGATTCCCAAGCTTTAGGCTATACTGGGAAACATTTCACAGGGCAACTGCTGTTTGATATATAAAAACTGTGTATTAGAATCACATTGTGTATGTTGTAAAATCTTTTATTTATAAATTTAAAATATATTATTTGAATATAATTGGAATGAGTTCTTTATGGAAGTTAAGTAGGTTTGGTATATATATATATATATACAAATAAAACATACATGGTATACTTCTTATGGCACACACTGTAAATCATTTTAGTGGATATTTTAGCTGTATTGAGATTGACGTGCACTCCCAAAATGCCAGGCAGAGTCGATGGAGGTTCTCTCAGTTTGACCTCACATATTTGGGGCAGAGAGTGAACTGAGGCCCGGGTCTTGGAAAGAAGGTTTGAGGATTCCTGCCTCTCTCTTTGTAGTCCTGCTAGCAGCCATTTAGCTGTTCTCTGAGCCCTTCACCATCAGTCAATGTGTCAGTTTGAGGGGAGAATGAGGACTTGATTGACATACTCTTGGCAACAAGGCATTGTAATTTCCTTTGTGTGTGTGTGTGTGTGTGTGTGTGTGTGTGTGTGTGTGTGTGTGTGTGTATGGGTGTGAGAGGATGTTTGAAAGAATGCTGATGAGCATCGCAGAGCGTCTGTCTCCATTCTTCTCTCAGTGGACGGGATGTTCACAGGGCAAACGAAAAACACATGAGGCCTCCTGTCCTCTGCCAACTAGTAATGTACCCGCATGCACATGCACACGCACACAGACACATACACACACACACAATTCCTGCAATTGCTCCAAGTCTCTTGCACTCCTCTCTGTCCTCTTTCTCTCTTTCATGTTTCAAGAGTTGCTGGACTGGATTAGGCCTTCGCTGGTTTCTGTGTGGTACTCTGCACTCTCTGTTATGGCTATGACATCACACCCCTACCCCATGGTGTGTTATATACCTACACGGGGGACAGCGAGACTCCAGAGGTTTACCACACAGCTCAACAGAGGTTGAGGGGCCACTTAAGGCAAAGCCACATCCAAGCCAGCCGAGCGTTTTATGTACCGTCCCTCATCGGGGGATTTTATGGGAAAACATTGACTATTTTATCCTCATTATTGTGGGGGAGGATGGGAGAGTAAGAGGAGGGGATGTGGGGATTGAATGGATGGTGAATGCCACCATGGGTTGGGATCAATTCATCTGACTGAGGATAGTCATCACACTTGGTTTCTGGTAAGACCGCAGGCAGAATTCATAGGCATCTCAATTTCCTGTATTCAAACATAGGCATGCAATTCGACTGTACACATCCTGTTGTAAGTTCTGACATCTGAAGCCCTGAAGTTTCTTAAATAAACTAGAGCTGGGGAAATAAATCTATAGTAGATACACAAAATCAAGTGATGGGCTTACGGTGAGTTTACTGGATAAACACATTTGCAGAGGGGAAACAATGGCGTAACTCATTGAAAACTGATTGGCAAATAATTTGCCAAAACATAAAATTTGGGAACGTCACGTTGAGTCAAAAGTCAAAAAGTTATCATGCAAAAAAAGACAACGCAATAATGACAAATATGATATTCTAAATTGTATGTAAGTTATTAGTTAAGCCAGAAAAACACTAAAACTGAAATGACATTTTTAGATTAAACTCGAAGACAAGCACTTTGTGTTCAGATTTATATTGTAACCAGCTCAAATTACAGGATCACATTGCTTGGATTCCAGTGGTATAACTAAAATGTGTTTTATCTAATGACAGCTCCGACTGGTCTGAGGCCCAATCATAGGCAAGATACTGTATCTTAATCCTAAACCTCTGTACACTGATATCGTAATCATACTAACCTGTTAATTTTTTTCCCAATGCAATGCAGACTCTGCGATCAGTCATCAAGACCAAATTGCGGCTGCAATTGGGGCTTTAAATCATGTAGATCATTCCTGGATTTATTGCTACAATCATTTTTTCTGTTTTGACAAGTATATGCTAACACACAGCTCTTGAGCTTCCTAATGTCCCACTGGAATCACATAATTACCAAATATTTCTATGCCAACATATTTATCTTCATAAGAGACATGGGTGGTATTATTATAAACTCTGTATTCTTAGGTCAAGTAAGATTTTTAATTATCCAGAATCCACCAGATCAGCTCCTCTACAAAGAGAACCTGCATTATAAGTTTAAATGTTTCTCATGTGTGGTTCTTAAGCTATTGTGTGTTCACAAGACTCTAAGTACATGCAGAGACACACAAACACCCAGACATCACCATGACAACAGTAACAAAAGCACACAAACACAGCACTTCTGTGGAAGACTACCTACCTCACTGGGATGTCCACTACCAGGAAAGAAGTTGCCATCGTCATAGCGATGTAGGGAGATGTACAGCACATTTGGGTCATTATAGAAGGCTTCCTGGGTGCCGTTGCCATGGTGAATATCCTGGACAATGATTAGATGACAGGTTAGGAAGTTGCCAAGGACCGAAGCAGGTATTTCAAACATAATTAAAACCTTGATTGATTCACATACTTGTTATAAATGAACACAAATCACTAAAACATAACAAGAACTTCATTGTGTATTCTCTTATTAGTGAAGTATACATAAAACAGAACCCAAAATGCAAAAAGCAGGGTCTGTAAAACCTGCAGGGCTTTTCTCTGCCAATGGCAAATGTGTTTTAATCTTAAAAGCTGTTTGATGAAGCAGGCAGTAATTAGTAGTCTGATGTAGTAATATGTCAGAGAGCACGGTGTGTGTAGAGACATAGTTCAGGCTCATATACACACACATGGTGAACAGAGACGAGCACCTGGCTGAGGATCAATATCTCCACATGTGTGCGTAGGTGTGTGTTCATATGACTGTGTGTGACTCTGTGTCTACTCTAAGCATACGTGACAGTTCAGATCACACATGGAGACCAGAGATATCAGTGCCTAAATGAACTAAATCATAAATACGAGTGCTACTGTAGAAGTCTCTGATTCTGGGACCTTGTTTGTGCCCACGATACATTTATGGTAGGTGCGTGTGTGTTTTTGTGTGTTTATTCGTCTCCATGTGGGAACCAGTGATGCTGGTCATGCGTTGGGTTCTCACCCAGTCCACGATGAGGATCTTGCTGACGTTCAGTTTGTGTTGGAGCTGCTTGGCAGCGATGGCCACAGAGTTGAAAAAACAGAAGCCCCTGTGGACAAACAGACAGGAAGAAAGGCAGCCACATGTGTTAATCTGGACATCTTCAGCAAATTACTATCATAAAATCACCACATGGACCTTAGGAACCTCTAAGACGTGTTTCCAGCTCTGTGGTGTCATGTGGTGGCTATTCAGGTTGTGACAATCAGTGCTGACTCTAATGTGCAAATCACAGAGGGAAACTCCTGCCAGGCAAACATTTACATCAAATATTTGAGAAACGATTTGAGAAATGAGGATGTTTCACTTCATGTTATTTTATATTTCATCTTCCACTGCTGACAAACAAAATGGCATTATACCGAGTCTAAACTCTTGCACTCTTGAGACATGCAGAACCCAGAAATTTTGTGACAAACAGAAAGCCAAGCTTATCATAAAAATTCACTTTACATTCCAAATGATAACAGCGTGAACTGTTGGCAGAACGTGTGAGATGATTTCAGAGAAATGAACTCAGAACTTGGCCCAGCAGTTCCCACAACACTCAGTGTCTACAGTAAAGGTATGCAAAAAAAGTGCTGATGTATGAAAAACAATGGAGGAATGTTGGAAGTGTCAGTGTCAGCATGGGTCGTAAACTGTGAGTGCTTTTGTGTGTGTTTGTGTGTGTGTGTGTGTGTGTGTGTGTGTGTGTGTGTGTGGACGGTATATCATATATGCTGTCCAAACTGCTCATCGAGAAAAGTCATTATCATCCCATAAATAACCAGCGACAAGCACTGCTGAGCACACACACAGTCCCAGCTGAATGTGGTTACTTGGCTAATGTCTCCTATCAAAGACTGACACAAATGCATGCACATAAATACGTCCACACACACACACACACACACACACACACACACACACACACACACACACACACACACACACAAAAGCACCTTTTTTTTAGGTGCTTTGCTTTGTGTCTTGAAAGTTTAAAAGAAACTGAGCGGAGGAGGTAGTTTGCCTCAGGCACCAGGCAGGTAGCACACATCACACAAAGTCACACACAAACACACACATTAAGACAGAGAGACATAGTCTCTCACATTCTCTCTCTCTCTCTCTCTGAAGTGAAGCTGATCTATAAGAAATCCTTTGAAACACTTTGCAGAGACCTCCTGGCTCCTGGTATGTGTGTGTGTGTGTGTGTGTGTGTGTGTGTGTGTGTGTGTGTGTGTGTGTGTGTGTGTGTGTGGGTGTATACTGCTGTACTTACAGAGGGGAGGAGTGGTTTGCGTGGTGTCCAGGAGGCCTCACCACTGCAAAGCCATTCTGTGAGAGAAAAGCGAAAACTTTAACACCTTACTGCTTTCAGTGGCCAACCATCACAGTTCACATCTTTAAGCTTACACCTGGTTGTTCTGTTGTTCACACTGTACGTTATGTTAAACAACAGCTGTCTGGGGCCAGTTACCAATGCTATACTGTACTGTATGTAATGGTTGTTTACCCCACAACCTACTAAACTGCAACTCTGAAATTCCTGAGAAAACACATGGCATTTGCTGATAAGGTATTTAATAATAAATACACACCTTCAACTCTCCTTGTGCCACCTTCAGTGCAAGGTCTGTGACACATCCTGCAGCAATGCGGGACGCTGTTGATGTGTGAGCTTCATTCCAGACTGTATCAATATCTACCTGTCAGTATAACAGTGATGAGACACATACAGTCAGTTCAAAAGTCAGGCACAGATGTTAACTGAAGATGCAATTGAAAGTTATTTCTGTTTGAATGGGTGGAAAGTTGCTGCATGTTTGTTGCAATTAGTTTCAAACTTGTCAAAACTGGACTCTGATTCAACTTCACTACAAGTGACTACTACTAAAATCCAGTAAGACCAGTTTGCAGAAAGAGACAGTCCTGGAAACTGGAAAGGAAGAGAAGTCAGCTATTCATAGGTCTGTCTATGAGGATTTATATTCATGAAACTAACGAAGTTTACTTATCACTGCACTTCCTTTATTATGAAATAATGAATGACAGGAATCTATCTATTCTATTAATCTATTCTTACAGTGCAGTGTATCAAAAAATGAAAATGTGTGACAGTGGACCTTTAACACTGTGGATACTATCAACGTCTTCTTCAGGCTTTTTTTTTTTATATCTACTTTCTCTTTGTTGCAGCAATTCTCTCTGTAAACCCCGTCTTTTGTTTCAATGTTACTCCATGTTTCAAAACTCACATTGGTGGTGTGCTGCGGGGGAACAATGAAATCAGAGGAATTTCTTTTATCACAGACTTTGCCATCTTGTTCCAATCACCCCTCTTCACCAGAGCAGCCAAAGGCCCGGAAATCCAGGCAGATCAGTCGTCTTATCAACTCACACCCTGCCCCCTTCTTCTTTTCCTACCTCCTCTCCTCTTCTGTCATTGTGCTTCACAACAGTTTCTCATGGGCATTATTATTTGTGCTTCGCTACATCAGATGTCTTTAGGTCCTTTTTTATCCACTTTTTTTTTATCCCATTCCCTCTAAATAAAATCCAGTTTCACTGGCGCGTACCCCTCTAAGCTGGAGTCTCTATGTGTACCCTTTCGCTCTCTTTCTTCTACATCTCACCTTTGTACAGCTTTTGGTTTCTGATTGAGTTTCAAAGTTATCTTAGCCAAAAACAATAGCATTAGTAATTTGTAGTATTATTAGCGTAATTGTGTAATAAGGCATAATCAGCCATGTAATGTTTGCTGTTCAGTAATGCAATCAGATAAGTGGAAAGATTCCCAATGACTTGTGTTTTAAAGATGTGTGTGCATGCGTGCGCGGGCCTGTGTGTGCGTGTGTATGGTTACTTACCCCAACTCCCCTGCATGGTAACATCACAAAAATCCGTTGAGATAAGATTCCTGCAAGAGATCATTTATGGTATTGAACTGTCATGGATAATTATTATCAGTATTATTATACAGTATTATTAGTATTTTTTTGTAATAATTATTGATATTACCTGCCAGTTTGCGGTTATCCAGCTTGAGGCGGTTGAGTGGGTTGGTGCCAAACAGAAGCACATGTTTCTCTGAATGGACTGACTGCAGCTCTTCTAGAGTGGCCTTCCTACTGCGGATACGCTACACACAAGACAGAGAAATATATATGCTGCATATAATACTGACTCAGGGGTATGCATCTATCAGTACATGGTGTGTATGTATCTGTGTGTGTGTGTGTGTGTGTGCGTGCGCACACACCATACCTCACACTGGCTCCTGAGACCTCTTTCATGTAGTCTGGACCAGATGCTCTGGACCCTCCCAGCATGCTCAGGGTGCCGGCTGTTGTCCCCACAGGTGCATTGGTGCTTCTGCATCTGAGCATCATAAACCAGACCTAGATACACACACACACACACACACACACAAACAAACACACAGCATCTCTTAACCTTATTTTCCTTCTTCAGTATTTCATGGTACAAAAATGTGATGGGATTCATGGCTTCTTTTCATATTTTCACTTTTCATAGTGTCCCTCACCTGTGGTAAAGCGTAGCTGGGCATCTGCAGCAGGGCTGGACAGTGACAGAGAAGGTATGGTGGTGGGTGGATGTGGAGGAGGAGGTAGGGAGGTGGAGGCTGGGGAGGACTGGGTCCGAACCAGAGGCTGGTGAGGCCAAATCAGGGCAGACACACCTGGGGAGTCCAGCTGGAGACCCGGTCTAAGGATCACTTGCCTCTGTGGTTCCCAGGGCAGTAGGTGAAGAGGAGAACAGGGAATGAAGAAACATTTACCAGCAGCAGCAAGGGAAAGACTTACTGGAAAACGTAGATACTCATAAGTCAAATGCCTCTCTAGTACATTGCTACTTCTCATTATTTGGTCAATTTAATATTGCTTGTCTAGAACAAGCAACTGATGAAGAAAATTCAGCATTGCCAAGCATGCTGCCAGAATACTATAACTCACTCTTTTAATTTTGTATAATAAAGCTACAGCGCCCTCTAATGTCAAAAACTAATGTTTCAAAACAATTTATGTCATCAGTTTTAGTTTTCTTTGGCATTAGTCACATGATCAATGATGTATTCAATTACAAACTAAAATATTAAATATAGTTGTTCAGCAATTTAGTACCTGACTGAGAGGATGTGAGGGCTCGATCAAGCTCTCCCGTGAGGAGGTAGTGGACTCTGTGTCGTAAACTGAGTCTGTGCTGGCAGTGCTCTGTCTCCTGTGATAGCTGTCCTCACACACTGAGCCTGGTTCTGAGCTGCACACGGACCCTGGTCCTGAACCAGAACCAGATGCTGATCCAATCTCCTCCAGATCCATATCCTCCGAAGGGATCTGTGTCAGACGAGGCTTCTCAGTCGACTTGCTTGTGAGCTAATATAAGGTATAAGTTTTACAGTGTTTAAAATTCTTAGTTGCTGAATCTCTCTTTAATGTGCATTTGTATACAGCTTATAATAGCACATGACTTCTATATTTCAAACTTTCCATCTTTTAATATTTTTTAATAAGGTACATCCATGCAGAAGTCCACACAAAGACGCCATAGAATCGACCACTGTCAGTATTAGAGCTAACTAGTTTGTTTATTTCTGTGTGACATGCTTGTGTCTATGCTTCCTCTCACCTTGCTCAGGTGTGTATTTTGCTTGAACCTCTCCAGCCCGCTCTTATGGTATATTTGCGGCAGGTGGTGCTGGGTGTGTGAGTGATGGTTGGCATGCAGAGTAAGGGGTGAGTGGCTGTAGGGCGGAGGCTCTGAACGTGTTCGCTCCAGGGGTTTGTGGGAGGGCAAGGTAACTACTCCTTCCCTCCTGGACGGATGAAGCTGGTGCTGCAGAGGAACCGAACTCAAACCATGAACTGCAGAGGGGAGGAGAGAGACGAACAAGTTAATAAAGATAAGGGCAGTCAGAAGGAGAGGAGGCAGAGGAATAAAGGTACATGGGGAGGCTGAGAAAAAAGATGTCAAACATGACAAAAACATATCTGACTCTGAAAGAGAAAGTGAAGTTCAGGGTGAAATATACCTGCATCACCATCAAGTTCCCAGTAGAGGGCACCCTTGTGCAGTCTATAATATTCAAGCAAAAGAAATGTAGTAGACAGATGTTCCTACAGTCTCTGATTTGAAATAAACAGGGCTTTTTCATAGCAGACATTTTGACTTGCTCTAACAGGAGAAGTGTAAGTGTTACTTTAACACCAGGACCCTAAACTTGCACACCTAAATAAAAGTCGTTATTGACTTTGTTAATTCATCACAGGCTTTTTGTTGAGATTGGCAGGACTTAAATGAATAAAACATGAAACAAAAAATACAAAAGTGTACATTAATATAATTGGTACAGGTAAGCTATTCAACATGCCATCACAAATGCAAATATAGTACTGCAAAGACTTTCTTTCAATATATATGTAATATCACAAAACACATAATATTATTATTAATATTATAACATGTCAATAAACAAAGCCTATTTACTGCCATTGGCAGAGGGAGTGAACCAGAACAGGTTGGCTGCAGATTGTCCAAACTCAAAAGATGTGCAACTAATAAGCAAGGTAAAAAATTTCCATCACTCATAATTTCATTACTTCCGTCTTTTGACCTTTTATGTCGCGCCGCACTATCCACCACCTCCTGTGTACCTAAACTACATTTGACATCAGGAGATAGGTTCGTGGTAAGCCTGTTGGTTGGTTGGGGGGGTGGGATATCAACTTTACAACTTTCCTTACCAAACGTCCTATCTTGGAAAGGTCTAAATTAACCTTCACATCAACCGGGAGGGCTATGGCCTTGGGACAGAGTTCCACAACCGTTGTTGGATCAGCTCAAAGGAAATATTGTTTGATGGTCACAGGCTTAAGCCTGTTAAAAAACACTTGACCCAGTCAGCCAGTTAGTGCTCTATAGCTGTCCTGCCAATACAGCCCAATTTGCAGTACAAATCTAGGGATGGTGACTCTGCCAAAGGTGCCGGTTTGGCTTTGCCAAGGACAAAACTAACCTTGGCCCTATACAGTAGTTATTTTAAAGTACATGACATAACGAGCAATTGCCTTAATTGATGTGTCCAAAATGATACACAGTTCAATATCTGGAGTCTTTGAAAGTGTATCGGAACTCAAACAGTGAGGAACAACATTTACCCTCTTGGCTTCTAGTCCTGCCCTCTCTGCTCTACTCTTCTATGAATTTCTCTGTGGGCAGATGTGTGGCCCAATAAATACCTTGAGAGATGAACTATGCTAAAAGTAGCCTTCCTTGTACTCTCAGGGGATCAAACACAGTGTTAATGGTCCAGAGCACCCCTCTTCAACTGATGATGAACGTGAACATGTTAGTCGTTAGTTGATTTACTTGTTTCCCACAGGCTGTGGTGGACATGTAAATCATCAAGAGCAAGGTCCAAGGATTTGATGTTCTTCATTCAATCCTCTAGGGGTAGGTAAGGTATTTCCAGTTAAACAACTCACGAGAGACAAGTTGGGAGTGCACCAGTCCGGTATGTGGTTCCAGTATGAGCACTGGCTGTAGGCGCTGACCCAGGGCTGCATTGCTTGCATCCAGAGGCAGGTAGACCTGATGTAGGGCAGATACCGCCAAGGGCCTTGCTACTCGCAGATCAGACTGCATGGGGAGAGAAGAGAGAAGAGGGGAGATGATAGTAAGAAATTACTAGAGGGATTACTAGGAATTAGGGAAGCCCTCATCATGGTTGCAGCATTACACAAATGAGCAAAATGGAGGGTTGGAGCATAGGGCCAGGGATTAATGGGCTGTTCTGAATGTACAGATAGACTCAAGAAACATGTTAACAATTTCATCAAGTGAGTAAACTATCACATGACTGATTCACAAGATATGAAAGCACCACAGAGATCAAGAGGGAAGTGAAAGCCTGAATACACCGCATGTTTCTATAAGTGTTCAAATGGGCAGGCACTATTTTATACATTCAGTTATAGATACACATAACATTCATAGCATGAATGTGTGTGTGTGATATCAGTAAATGTGCTTAATTCATCCTTTAAATTGATACATGATTCGGGAACTTGTTTGTAGTGTTACTGTGACATAAATTAATAGTGATTCTGAAGGGAACCCTAGAAGGTATCATCGCTCACCTGTGCAGGAAGTCCAGCAGTGATGTTGGGCATGGCGGTGGGGTTGGGAGGCAAGGTGAAATGAGCCAAACTACCATCCTTCAGCAGCAACCTTTGTGCCTGAATGGGACAAAAATATTCATTATAGAGATTATCTGTACATACAATCAGTCAAATAAAAACGATCCCACCATCACACAACATAACAAATGACACACACTTACGTAAAGTTAAATTTACTTCTCCCCTTAGCGCCATATACTGAGACCAACAGGCTGATCTTAAATATATTAATATGTTAACTTTCTCACAGGTAATACATTCTGATTCTATTAAAATGGACTTGTGTGTTAAAAACCCACACTATTGTTTTAACCCGCCAGGAAAATGATGTAAGTACAGTATAGTAAATAGAAAATGTATTTATATTAATGTTTTAATTAGATGAGGAGTGATCAAGTAACATGTTTTTGTGTAATGAGCCATCTGGTCTTCTCAAATCTCACTGTTTAAAGCATCGGGCACTATTACTGTACTGCATTTAACACACCTTTAACATTCAGCTGTTGGTGGTTGTTCTTCAAAGAGCACAGATAAAATCTCCAACAAAACCCCAGTGACACACAATAAGTACCACTATACATTTTATTTTTTTAAAAGAAAGAAAAAGGTTTGCTAGAAAATATTTTATAAATGAATCTATAATGGGAATGGTTGAACACTTCTTGTCCCCTGTATTGTGTTGATGTATGCTTAAACAGGACACTGAACCCTTTCTTAGTATAATAAAGTGGATTAAAAAAAGTCTAAATTTGCTGTAGTACGAATATAAAAGAAGGGTTCACCTCATGAGCCACAGGGAGGGCCCCATTATCCGAATGGAGGCTGTCATTGGGTGAGCTGCTCCCAGATGCTGGGGTGCTGCTGCTGCTGGGAGATGAGTCTGGGTGACAGCAGAATTGAAACACGTCTGTCAACTCATAATAGCCAACACTCTCAGAACAGATGCGTACAAAAGACGCACATGAAAAAGGAATCAGTGTGTCAGCACAGTTTCATGCTGAAAAGTAACAGTTAGAAATGGTACATCATAGCAGCATTGCATGCAAATAAAACAGAAAGGTAAGATCATCAAAGTGTTAAATGTAGCTAAATGTAGATACTCTACCCAGAGTTTCTGTCCTATGCTTGACAGTGGGAGGGGCACTGATCTTACGCTGCAGCGGGTTTGGCCTTGTACTGATGAGCTTCTTTATCTTCCACTTCAGAGTGGGCTCAGAGACTGCACACACACAAATATACACAAATGAATATGTGAAGAAACACACACACACACACACATAATTATCCATTAGGTTTTATGAAAAGTAAAGATACCTAGTACTTTTAAACTCACAGATGATAAACTTCTTCTACATCAGAAAGAACACTCTCATTGAGTAATGCACACATATAACTCAATTTCCATTACAAAACCAAGTTCAAACAATCTGTAGCACATCTGAACCAAGAAAATACCTCAACTCTGGTCTATAGCATAAAAAAGTTCCATGTTTACATTGGTCAGGCTCTAATAAGCCCAAACAAAACAATCAATCAGTGGCTGGCTCAGAACAGATAAAAGGGAGCTTTGTGTTGTCACTGAGCCAAAAAAAGCGCTGGAGGGTGTGTGCGTGCTGGCACCTAAGGGTTCTAGGGCAACAAAAAAAATAATGGCATTCTGAATGGTTAGTGTACATGCAGATGTGTACAGGAAGACGAAACCACTCCCACTCTCATTCACACGGTGAGGGAGACCTGGATTCTCACGCAGTTCATTTTACACATACCTTAGTTAAACTTATGTAACTTCTTTGTGTCTCGCTGTCGCTGTTTATTTTATGACTGTTCAGTTTCTCTCTGGCCCTGCAGGTCTGGTGCTTAAAGAGTTTCCTTAGTCTCACTGGAAAGGACACTCCTGGGTACATTCATTCTCTCCCTCCATTTCCCATTCTCTAGTCCAGAATATGTAACATAATGACAGTTTGCTGAGACAGTCAAAAGCATCACACTGAACAAAATATCCCACTGAACTATGCAGTCAGATGACTTTGAGCCTAACTCAAATTACACAGAGACTGCTACAGAACAGGCCTGAAATGGAAAATCACCAGTGAGCTTCACAGCTTTAACCTCAGGGTGGGAACCCCCATCACAGACACAAAAAACCAGGGTATCTCACCTGTCCTGCGCAGCTGCAGATGGTCACAGGGTGTAGGCTGAGCCTTTGGGGACATATCAGGAACCGGGAGCCTAGGTAACCAAAACATATATATTGAATTGATTGTTTAAGTCATGAGTCAGTATCAAGAGATTTGCTTATCATTGTATTACTTCAAATCAGAAATCAGAAAAGGAAGAGGCCTTCAAGAGCCCTGCAGGAGCCCTTATTGTATTTTTTGCAAAAACTGCCCATTTGTCTCTCTCACCTGTATCCTGGTGTAGGACTGCAGTGGTTGGGAGTAACTCTGTCATGGGTTGGCTGGCTCTTCATGATAATGTGTTCTCGAAGTTTCTGCTTAACCAGAGGACTGGCTACAGCACCTACCAGTTAATAAAGTCATTTCATCAGGAAAAAGATACTGATTTGGATCATGTACAGACATACAATTGGTAGACCTACAGCCACCAGTGGAGTTGATGATAATATAAAGTCTAAAATCTGTATATTACTGTAGTATAAATAAGAAGTCAGGAGACTTCTGAGATAGGATATTTGTCACTTTCCTCTGTTCTCTCTTCCTTTCCTCAACATGGTAAAAATAAAAACTGTTTGCTGAAACAAGTATGTTTGTGTGACTTTGGTTTGATATGAGTACAAATTTCCTTGGAATCTGAGAATACATCACAGTACTGTTGGAATTCCCCCTCTTTTTCATTGAAACCTGCAGTGTGATATGACTCAGATCAGAGCATGTCAACAACCAAATGGTCTTTCAGGGAACCAACGAAAGCACATTACATTTTGGAGAAATACATTACATGTGATACTCACTTTGCTCATTTTTATTCTTTCTTATCAGCTGTTTTAACTCTTCTCTTTTCTCCTCCTCCATCTCTCTTTGCCTATGGTCAATGTTATACTGAGAGGAAAAAAACAAAGACATTTGATTTGCACAAAAGGTGAAAAACATAGCTACTGGCACAGGAAGAAAATAAGAGACATTTATACATAACTGAATATTATCAATACTGCATACAACTTCCTGTCTGTCTGTAACTCTGTATTGTAGTGTTGCTTTTATCTTCACCAGTTCTATCTTGAAAATGAGTCTCAATGAGATTACATATCTAAATAAATGTTAAGTAAAAAAAAAGGAAAACTCAGACTTTATGTTAAACTAAAGAAATATAACACTAAAGGTGCAGCAACAACCAGCTGATCTATGATCAGCATCTATCAGAATCTAATGCTGAGAAGGTGGTTGATTTCCTGTAACCTGTCCTGGTTCTTACTCATTTGTGCTGAGTGTTTAACCTGTGTAAAGGCATGTGGCAAAAGCAGCTAGCTTGTTATTGTGGTTAACGTGACCTCTGGTCATCTCACCCTCACTCAAATAAAACAAAATGTCACAAGCATACCCAGTAATATTAAGTCTTTGTTCATGTCCTGAATGGTGATGACATAGAAATATTAAGGTTTAAGAGCCCTGATGATTTAAACACATAAATTCAGATTTAGCCAGTGTATTCATCCAATCACCCAACCACCAACTTCACACTCATAGCCACTTCACACTCACACTGTTGCTGGTTATGTTTGCAGCATTTGCACAGTGTTTTCCTTATGACACACATGTTTGTTCTTACCTGCAAGTGCTGCTGGGAAAACTGGGAGCAATGCTGAGAGGTGAGGGGTCCCAGGAAGAAGGGAGGGTGGGGGGCCAGCATGGCCGAATCTGGGCCTGGATGCAACAACCTCTGGGTCACACTTAGGTCCATGGGCTGCTCCCCATGCATGGACAATGAAATCTGATTGCTGATGATCACATCCACTACAAGAGGACAGGGAGGGAGAAAATAACAAATCAGTTACTCAAAGGGTTGAATTAGATGAATCACTGTCTATGGTTAGGGTGTCAACGTGGGATAGGGATTATTTATGGATTAAAAAAGGTTCATTAATAGTATTAAAAGTAGTGCAAATATCTTCGATGCCCAGTAGATAACACATTAAAACCGTGTTTACCTGAGAAAGCAGGGTTTTAACAGATTTTCACAAAAAGTCCAAGAACAACTGGAGCGTCATTTACTGCCTGGGCTTTACATAAACATGATCAAGAGTGCACTCAGTTTATTTGGCATAAGTGTATGCACAGATGTGTACTTGTACTTGAACTCTGCACGTTCACCAGTCATATTTCATTTCATTCAAGTCTTCCTGCCTCAAGTGAACTGGCTATTGTCCAAAACTGCATTCAGAAAAGCAAAACAGAGGGGTGTTTGTGTGTGTTGGGGTCGGAGGAGCACAAAAGAAAGAAAGAATGAAGGAAACAGGGTGGGGAGTTGGATTTGAACATTGTGTGGTCAAGGCATTTCGGTCAGGTACATCAATCTGTCATCTCTCTTCCAGGTTTTACTAAAATGAAAGAAATAAAAAGCTAAATTTAGCACGAGTGAGACAATTGAAGCAAGCTTGAGTGCCCTAATGAAAGACAGATGTCTTTTTATAGGTGTAGGGGAGTGTGAAAAGGTTTTGATCCATTTATGAAATACAAATGCCACTGTAAATTTGTTGGAGCATATAACATATGCTAAATGTTACTTTTCACCTCGAATGATTTAACTGCGGCATGCATGGCACAAAAAACACGAGAGAAGAAGGCTAATGATAACTGGTAACACGATCAGCCACAACTTTTGTGATGCACCATAACGAGACAAAAACATATGCAAGCTCACAGATAACTTGATACTGTTTTCACGTGTCAATACCACAGACACCAGAAACCATTAAACACGGTGAGAAATGTTTCAGACCTGATACAAAAGTGTAGACAGATACAGTATGGAAGGAGACACCTTGCTCCCTCTAGGGTAGAGGGACAGTGGGAGGAAGGGAAGGACATGGAAATTTACTGAACTCGTGTGCCTGAATGACTGCAACACAAAATATTACTCAACATTACTCACAGAATTCCTGTAAGTGGATACTTTTTTACTGGCATACACTGCTGAATTATGTTACCTGCTGTGGACAGCACTGTAACACAGTTCCAACTTTACAAGAACTACCTCTCACACTGCGATATGTCGGAATAACATACTTGCAATGTAATTATTCACTTCATTATTCACTTGTTTTGGGAGTTAAATAGACGTTTACGTTATCAAACCAACTACATTAATAAGGTGCAGATGCAGATAAGACAAGTAGATGGTGTTTCTAGTTAAACACCTAGTCTGAGTTAAACACAGAATTTGAAGGCCTGTCTACTATCAGAATTAACAGTAGATCCAGCAAAAATGAAAGCTTAAATGAAGCTAACAGCATATCATCAGATCTAACTTTCACCAGCGCAACAACACAGCCCAAAACAGGCCTCCATACAGGCTAAAACTAGGCACTAAACTTCCCTATTTCAGGAGTCACACAGTAGGTAGTACAGACCCAGGCAGTGTTATTTGGTCATCTTTCCCGACAGCAAGACTGACTCAGAGAAAGAAGTAATTATATCTGTGAAGGCGTTTTGACAAGACAGAATTCCTCTGAAGTAGAAAACACTCCCACGGTCTTATTACTGCAGGTCAAGTGACACTTCTACACATGAAACAATCAGGCAGGGAGTTAATAAGACCAGAACTATTTACAGTGCAAGATAATATCATACAGTTTAAGCCAAGTGGTTTCAGTTCTGTTGTCCTGCTTGATAGCCCAATACAGAGTTCATAATAACACTATTTGTTTGTGGGACAGCTGTGTGTTTTGTTGTTTTCTGTATGCGTGAGACAAAGACAAACAAAAATATAGACAAACTTTGATTCATGATGCATGATGATTACCTCATAGAGATGAAAAAAATACAGCATGACGAGCCTCCTGTAAATATATGCCTGCAATTGACATGCTTCTTGGTCTGTACGGTTCTCCTGTGTCACTGGAATGCTGTCTTGCCAGGTAACGCAAGGATGCAAAGACATGTCAGACAAAACTTCATCTCTGAAATATTTCAACCTGTCTGACTTTCGGTTGGTTCAAGCCTGTGTGACAGTATGTCAGTTGAGTTGAAGAGGCTTGTTTTTTTAAAACTGTAATTCAAAAAAATTAAAGGTTAAACAGGAAGTACCAGTTACAGCAGATCAGTATGTACTACCAAAGGAATGTCTGTGTGTTTAGAGTGGTGGGGACTCAAATAATCTGCATACACTCTCTCATACACACATCCACGCGCATGATTACCAAACAAGTCAGCTCCCCTGAGAGAAAGGAAATGATCAGGAAGTCAGTCTTACTTCTCATCTAAACAGAAAAGAAACACCTGCGGTGTATTTTTACCCTGAAAATACAGCAAAGACCAGGCTGCAGCAAATATACTTATTTGAATTCGACAACAATGTGACTTTAAACGTCCTCCCAGAGACACATAGTCTAAAGTGGGTACATTTTCTGTATCTTTCTGCAGTTTTAAAGGAAAAGCCACTCCTCCACTCAAATATGTTTGGCTGAGTTTTTGTACTGACACTAAAGCTGCAGCGCAGAGTTACAGTGTGACTCATTATATGACTGGACACAAACCAGTTTGGTCACCACATGATGCTTTTAAAGGGCCAACTAAACAGTTATGATTTCTTCCAACCTAACCCTCAAAGATTTCAAAAGCTATCATCTTATCAAGAGTTCATTACAAGAAAACAATTACAGTGCACACTTGTTACCAACATTGTTTTCTACTGTGCTTTTATCAATTGGGCTTTGAAAGTGCAAGATATAAAAAAAAAAAAATTATTTATAAGAAGAAATCTGGAATGTCTTAAAAATAAGCAGAACTGCATCTAGATAAGATCTTTGTGTGTGCTTCTCTGTCTCTCATTTGAGCGTTGTGGGGCTAAAAATAGACAGGAGACAAACTTCTGGTTTCTGTATATTCGTTTCACAACCATCATGCACTTTCTGTGTGCTTCTGCAAAAATACACTGAAGCACTAACACACACACCTGCACACATGCATAGGCGTTACTGGTGCACACATGCACGCACGCACACACACACACACACACAAACACACACACAGACACACAGACACACAGAAACAGTGACTTCCTGTTTCTAAAGTTAGTCTGCACCATAACATCCTCTTGGTTCATTTAGGCAAGACGAAGCTGCTATTTTGGTTGAAGGGCTAAATTTCTGCCGCTTGAGAGTTAGAGGTGTCCTGCAGTATTTATATCCACACTGCAGCCCGAAAATTTACTTTTATATTGTTGGGCTGGTGCGAACTCCACAGTGGTATTGGACGGAGTTAAGTCTGGAAGTCAGGACGTGCTAGTTACTATTTGTATACATAAACACAGGCAGCGGGCTTAAGGGTTATGCCTGGTTAGATGAGCAACAAAGCAGAAAGAGCAGGAGTTCAGAGACAAAATGTTGTGTGAAATATAAAGAAATAATATTAATATTGTTTCTAGTAAAATATCAAGCATGCCAACTTGTGCCGAGTGTAAATTAATTATTTTCTTAATCTGGCTGACACTGAGTTCTGTACTAGCAGACCCACTCACAAACACAATTGCAATTTTATGACAGCTACTCCACCATGCTGGCCACCTTCAGCGGTTCCCCCAGCCAACCACCTATTCCTCCGTCCTTTTCTCCGTCCCTCCCCCGTCCTTAGAGGAATCCACAGCTGTTGGGGACATTCTGTCCCTCTGCTTCCGAGCAGCTGGAGTATCAATCTCCTTATGTGTGCATCCATATGTGTGTATGCATGTGTGTCCATCCTATACACGTCAAGATATTAATAGTTTGCAGTTGTTTCTTTTGAGTGTACACAGCAGGTCTTTGTGTTTGCATAAGTAGGATCTGCTTGTGTGACAGTTGATGGTGTGTGTACACGTGTATCAGTGCATCAGTGCTGGCGTTGGTGCCAGTGTATTAATAGTGTGCATTTGTTTCTTCAGAAGAGCACTGTGGCTCTTTGTGCAAGTTTGAGTATATGTAACCATGCCAGTTTATTTTTAGTGTCACCTGTCGCTAAACACTTGTGTTATCGTGTGTAATCATGCAAGTGCACATATGTTTGATGACATTGAGTTAGTACGTTGCTGTTTCTCTACATATTAATAGCATCACACCACTTGTTTTTATGAGTGTGTGGCGTGTGTGTGCTTATAAGTGTAATAATAGCATTCCCAATTGCCCACATATGCTTCTGTATGTGTATGGCGTGTGTTCGAGAGGATGTCAATAACTTCAGCCTCATATATATCAGTCCTACTGCAAATAGATGTGGATAGAGAATGAGTTTACAACAGTCAACCACTGTGAGTGAGCTGATGATATTTGATGATACTGGTTACTTCCAGTATGGGCATATATATAAGTGAACAGAAATTGCAGTACATTAATGTTTTATAGCCTGCATTTTCAAGTATGTTTGACTCTCTCTTGATTCAATTTTAAGGTTTCTATTTTCTATTTAAAATTCTGAATTATATACATACATATACATTTTTTTCTTGATAACTGTAATAACCTGTCTTTCACATTTTTTTTTATGGTTGCAACTAAACAATTTTTTTCCCAATTAAGTGTTTGGATATTGTTTTAATATGTCAAACAATGTGAACCACAATTCCCACGGTCATGACTTTAAATCGCTTGCCTTGTCTGTCCAAAACCCCAAAACACAAATGTATCAAATTTGCTATGACACAAAACAAAGAAAAGCTGGACCTATACAAGTTTTTTACTTCACTCAAATGATTAATCGATTATCAAAATATTTTTGCTGATTCATTTTCTTTTAATCCTAACAAAATCTGAGGAATCCTTGTCAAAAAACATTGTCATGTCAAAAATGTGGCCTTTATCACACATTATCAGATGTTTGGCATTTGTTTACCATAGCAATAAACTCTGTAAAACATACCACAAGCTCATTTCCTTCCCCCCCTCAAGGCTTATGAAGTAACAACTTATTATGCCATAACATAAGACATACATTCCTACACTTGACTGTCAACAGGGTAACAGCATGAGATTCTTTCATCGTTTAACCTTTTCTTTCTTTTTCTCATAGTCATCTGTACTGTTCTGTGCTGCCCCTGCCACTCTCTTCAACTGAAAGTTCAGAGGTCACACAGTTATAAGACCTCTCTTGATGTTGTGTCCCTGAGGCAGCACGGGAAAAAGATGAGGGGTCGTCAGCTCACTGTAGAGTTGTGCGTATGTGTCACAAGTTAGCGTGCTCTTTAGTGTGATTCTCCAGCTTGAATTCTCACAAATCAAATACAGACTGACAATTGTTGAAATGGTTTCATTTTTTTCCTCCTGTATGTTACAAAGGGTCATCTTTTTTGGCAGGGAGAAAACAGAGCTAAATTCGTCCCAGGGTGCTGTCATAAGGTTGGCATGAGAACGAAACTCTGTCTTGCCTGAGGGCACACACAATATGTGCTCCTGCTAAAATAATTGACACTGATACTTTCATGGCTGAGCAGGTGCTCAAAGTTCATAACGGAGAGTGTTGACACAGTATATTAGTACTCATACACACCCTCATTCATACATACCACACACAAACTATCACCTTAACATTGCCATCAATTATGCAAATTAAGACATGAGCCACCATTTGCCCTGACTGGAACAACAGCTGACTTCCTTTATGTGCTTCAAAAGAAACAGTGACTGATATCTAAGCATGGACTGATTCAGGTCAGTGGTCTGTGCACATCACCTCCACCTACAAACATCCACCTCTGCTGGGTAATCCATCATTGCCAGAGGTCCCCTGGGAAAATGTGGCCTTTACACACCCACACACACAGAAACACTGACATATATCTGTTTTTACATGTAAAAACCCACTGTCTGGTATGATGATGATTTGACTGAGAGAACAGGTTCTCATGCCCACTTCCTACTATAAGTCGCCCATGTGTTGGCGGAATACTGTGTACTACTGTCTGCTATTGCACACTAGGTTAGAAGACTGTGTATACAGAAGGACTTCTTTGTTTCAAATACACCCTGCAGTCAGTAAGAATAAGGTTACTGTCTTCTGATACAAGCCTGCTTTTACTGCTGGTTTTGATAAAGTAACTGTCTTTGTTTGAGCTTTGTTGATTACCCTAATACTCTCCATCTTTTGCCCTCCCTCTCGCATGATACACAAGCAGAAAAATGGTCCTGTTGCTGTGTTTTTGAGGAGCAGAGTGTATCAGTAGTCAGCTGAGTTGATCTTAAATCAGGAACAGGAAATGTGATCTGGGGCTCTGGCCGGTCCAGAACACTGTTCCTATTGTCAGTACACTGCTGTGGCTCACACTGGGAAAACACTGGGGACTTTTAAAGGTTATCTGTCCTGGGAAAAGGTTGATATTCACTTTCACAACTAGCCTGCAGCACAAAGGTATACCCAAAATGGATATCTGATGATGGCCTGAGGACTAAATATGACTTTGTTGTTGTTAGGCTTCTTACTATAAATGGGGTCAATAGAGTGGTCAATAAAGAAGCTAATCCAACAAGCCTCTCTACCAGTTTTTACTCAGCTATTGTTGAACACTCTTCAAAAACAAGTAGTGGTGGGAGGTATCTCAATGGTCATCTCAGTCATCTATGTAAAGTAAAAACAAAAACAATCCACCAAACGTTTACTGTCCTCAATTTATTAATCTGAAGACATTAAAGACATATCCCATGTGTCCCATGTAGAGCTGAACTGATTAGTCTTTTAACCGATTAGCTGGCAGACAGAAAATCTTTTGGAAAATCTTTTGGTAATATTCTGATTATTTGTCATGATCATGTAAGTCATGTTTTACGCAACAACTTTGAATTACAGAGTTTGGGCTCACAGATTTTTTTTCCTAATAAATGTACATTATTTCTTAGCCAACTCAATGAAACTCAGAAAAGAAAACCAAAACAACAAGCACACCTCAGTTTCTCTACAGTATGTGTTAAACCACACTGTGAGTTTACGGCTGAAGAAATGTGTTTTAAATAATTGTGAATTTCTATTAGAGGGTTATAGAGGCTTTATACCTCAAGAACAAGTAAAAACAACACTGACTGCAAGCAACCACCTTGCAGTGTAACCATCTAATAAGAGTTTTATGAATTAAAGCACTGCCTTACAACTTTTTAGGCCAGAGTATGAGTCACAGCTGACGACAGCTGGAGAAGGAAAGAGCTGACTTATGTTGACATCAAAATATCTTGGTGTACAAGAATGTAGACAAACCCCTTCAGACAGAAAAACAAACACAATTCCCGCATCTCCAATGTAAGATGATGGTGTTAAAGTTTCGCTTGAGCCTACAGCCATATGAGGCCTATTCAGCGTGTGTGACTATGACAAAGCCAAACCCCACAGGACGTCACAACCAGCGGAGTAAAGGGGCCTTTGTGATCAACAGTTTGTGTAAGATGACACCGATCATGGTTATTATAATCAAAGTCTTTATTCAATTATGCGCTTTTGTAACACACACACATGCATGGATACAGTATTTGCATGCTGCAGAGACAACCGCGCATGCACACAAGTACACATTTACCCATTCAAAGCAATAATGATAATCCTGTCACTGCTGGATATCTGAGATGAGAGGAAAAATGAAGGAGTGAGGGAGATCTTTAAAAGGCATCAGAAAAGGGGACAGAGGAGTGTAGATGGTGTCGATTCCTTTGGCATGGCCCACATGAAACTAAAGTAACTGTATCCCCGCACCAACACTGAGGCTATGACCTCATCCCATCCAGAGAGGAAACCTGGACACATGAGAACATTATTCCACGCATGGCTGCCGCGTGTGTGCATGTGTCTGTGTGTTTTCATTTTCTAGGGACTTAAGGGACTTGGGTGGGATTTTTACCACAACTATCATAATAAAGCACACACACACACACACACACACACACACTGAAACACTGCTGCCCACCCCATGGTCTATCAAACAACCAAACATTTGTTGCCTAGTAGTGAATGAGTCAAACTTTTCAATGACGTTATGGGCATAAATACATCCAGTAGGAAATTCTACACTTGCACTCACAATGAGGCCTTAACACCATAATTACACAATTATTTGCCCTATTTTTCACCTTAAATTAGTCATGTTGCCTGTCAGATTAGGATAATTACCAGGGCACCTTGAGTTACACATAGTCAATAAGGTAGTCAATCAGGCAGATAATAAGGTATTTACTAATTCAAACTTGCTCCATCAGGTCATGACCTGGGTCACAGACGTGTTCACATACTCTCATTTAAGTTATTATAGCCATTTTGTATTGCTGTGGTGCATTTCTTCAAATGAAAAAGTGAAAACATCTACCTGCAATTGGAAATCTCAGCCAGATGAGGTTTTTAGACCTGTTGAGTTTTAACGCATGCCAGAAGGATAATGTGGATATAACTAAAGTTAAATGTTTATTTATAGTTTTACCACAAAACAAGGAAAACATTATTTCAGATGAAGCAGGCTAGTTCAGCTCACTGGAGTTTTTGTACACAAGAAAGCAGCATAAAACAGTCTAATAAAGTTAAACCTTTAAACCTTAAAGTTTACAGTTACAACTTTTAGCCGCGTTTGCTAGGTAACGCGTTAACGTTACGTCACAGTGGACGTTAACAAATAGCTAACGTTAACAGTTAAACATCGCCTACCTTTCTGAGGTGAAGTTCAAACGCGACGCATTTCCAGTTTCACGCTACAACGGAGGAGCTGACAGCCAGGTTTGAAGTAGTAGCAACGGCAAGTCAGAAAAAAGAGAAGCCGGATAAAAAGGTAGTCCGAGTGTTTGTCCTGGTCATGTTTTTATTGTGGCTGCTCTCTGGTAATCAAATCAGAAACGTTGGTTCCAACCGTCAGCACGCGCCGCTGTCAGAGCTGTGTACGTACAGAAACGTTAAACTCAAAAATGTTCCGGTAATTATGTAAGAGGAGGACAGACAGTCCACCGTCACTGAAAGCTCGTCTCCACTTATCTGTCTCCTCCTCACTGACTCTGACTGTCGGTGGTGAAACTGCTGATAAAAGCTGCTGAGAGCCTCACTTTCATCCGTGTGTGTACTGCTGGTGTGAGGGCTCCATCTGCTGAACTCAACAGGGTAAGGATGCCCTGTGTGTGTGTGTGTGTGTGTCTCTCTCTGTGTGTGTGTGTGTGTGTGTGTGTGTGTGTGTGTGTTCTGTGTGTGTGTGTGTGTGTGTGTGTGTGTGTGTGTGTGTGTGTGTGTGTGTGTGTGTGTGTGTGTGTGTGTGTGTGTGTGTCTCTGTGTGTGTGTGTGTGTGTGTGTGTGTGTGTGTCTCTGTGTGTGTGTGTGTGTGTGTGTGTGTGTGTGTGTGTGTGTGTGTGTGTGTGTGTGTGTGTGTGTGTGTGTGTGTGTGTCTGTGTGTGTGTGTGTGTGTGTGTGTGTGTGTGTGTGTGTCTCTGTGTGTGTGGGTGTGTGTCTGTGTGTGGGTGTGTGTCTGTCTGTGGCGTAACAGTGGACCATTGCCACATCAAACTTTCACTGAGAGTGGACCAGCGAGCCAACAGTGGACATTTTTGAACTCTATGTTGGGGGGCTATTGAACAGACTACATACTGAAGGAACCAGTCACCTTAAACACGATCTGTTACTATCGTTAAGTGACTAAATATAAATGCCCAACTTTAGTGGATGTCCAAGCTAGTTTAAAACTTAACACCATATTAAAATGAAGGGTTACACAGAAGACTGGTGAATAAAAAGTATTTTAAAATCTAAAACAAAAAGGATACATTTAGAAATGAAATGGTCAGCAGAAGATCATTTCTTTTGTTTAAATTATTCACTCATAACATGTATAACAGACTTTTACTCAACCAAGTACAGGATTTTAATACATTTTAAAACGTAATTGTATCCTCAATCTATATATGACATCAATGTGTTTGTTAATAGGTACACGTTACAATATTCACACTCCAGCACTAATAAAAAAAGACATAAGTGAAATTCTTATGAGGAAATAAAAATCTATTTTATGAGTGCATATTAAAAAGGGTTCAGTAACACATTGAATTAAAGTCTCAAAGAAAATATAATTCTTTACATGCACTTGACAACAAGTTTGATCTGCTTTGTGCTGTTGAAAACCCTCAATAAAGATCATGTAAATCCTTAAGTCCTGGCTTTATTGAATTATTGATATGATGCTAAATTGACAAGAAGGTTGTTCTGTATTAAAGTGTCTACTGTACTCTAAACATCCTCTTTTCCTGATTTTACTGTATTGTATTTTAATTTTGGAATCTGACCACCATGTGAAGCCAATAGCTACATAAGCATAGACAAACACACACACACACACACACACACACACACACACACACACACACACACAAATTTAGTCTTAATTTACGCAGTGCTGCCCATTATCACATGTCCTCTCTTAGACTGAACTCTGACTGTCTCTTGCAGTTTCCTCATCCTGCTTGTGGCTAAATCCACTCTGTGCCAAACATTATCACCGGCTCCATGAAGATAAACCATTCGGGGATAAACCAACTAGTAAAAGACGGTCAGCTGACCTGAGACGGTTTTTTATTTCATGTGACCCAGGCTGGTCCTGGTCCTATAAGGGACTCAATAGGTGTGCTGTTGTTCAGTTTAAATTGTGTACCTAAGGGGAAAATGATGGCCTGAACCTAAAAATTGCTATCAACAACACTCAATCTAATTTCAACAACAGTATGTCTTTTCCCCTGTGCTCTTGGCAGAACTTAACAATCCATCCCCCAGTCACGGGGTTGACTGTGGCCTGAATAATTTGAGATGCGTACAAGCAAATTGAATTTCATAGCAGTTCTTCCATTTTGAACAGCACATGCTTGAGACAGAGCTTCTTCTATTTGCAGGTGTAAAGAGCGCTTGGTAACTGTTGCTACCCAAGTTACATGTTTCAATTTCACTAATAATATAGAGCTATTATCAACACATCATTACTCATATTAACCATGTCAACATAGGTGTCTGAATCACCGCTTTAACATTATGGCTCATTCTTTTATAAACAGAACAGAAAGTTACATGGAAATTTTTACATTAATATCAGCTGTCATGTTAAGCAGACAACATTAATTTAGCATAAAATATCTAATACAGTAAGGCCACTTAGTGGTTACTGTAACAGGGCTGGTGAGGTTGGCAGCAATGTTTGTTTCAAAATAAACAGACATCAGCTCTCCCTTCTTATCTCTCCTCCTCACACTATTTCTACACTGTCTCTGTCGTCATAAGGGCAGTGCCACTGCAGTGTAGCATGTGAGTATTTGGATCTGTTTGTGGGTGTGTCAGCCTGCCTGTCTGTGTACATGATGAGGTACAGTCATTAGAGCCCTCAGTAAAAACATCCTCACCTTACAGCACAATGAGAGTCTGAGCGAGATGCTGTGGAAAAGTCATCCTCACTCATAGAGATGCATTTTTTTACAGAATGCCCAAGAGGATTTTAAAAACTGAAAGCCAGAGAAGTGAAGAAGGGAAAAGACACATATGGCATACATCGGTAGGACTCCAAGGTGGAGTTTTGTGGCCAGTAGGGCTCACTCCTCTTCCAGTCACAGGAAGCCAGTAGGAATGAGAGGAATGCAGTCAGGCAATATGGTGATGGAGGGAGCAGCAGTTGCAAGGCAGATTGCCAAAAAGGGTGAAAGAAAAGGAGGGAGTTGGGGAAAAGATAGGGAGAGTGAGAAAGTGATTAGAGTGAAATAGCCTGGGATGCGAATGATTTAGATGCACAATCAGGCAAAAGCCAACAATGGGATTGCCTCCAGAGGCACGCAGACATGCTCACATACCAAAACAAACGGCCAGCGGTGGCTTTTGTTGTTGCATGTGGTGCGAGTGTAACTGTTCTCTCTGATATTGACAGTTTGATGTGGATAACGTGCTTGATATTGGAGTAGTCACTGACGGAAATGCCACAGTACATTAGTGTGACCCATGGAATGTGTGGAGTTATCAGCCGAACAGATTTCCTGGTAACGGGTGGAGGCTGGGGGTCCACAAACAATAATTTGTTTTTTACTATGCAGGGGGTCATCCTACCTTACACACACACACACACACACACACACGCACATGCAGAGACATGCACCGACATGTAGACAGCACACTCAGACACAGCTTTTCTTTCTTATTTGCTCATCTATTTCAGTTTGACAGTTGAACTGCCATTTTACTACTGTGTCAGGTGTACTTTTTATGTTTGTGGTCAAGTCAAGGTCACAAGAGGGCCTTACAATATGTACAGCATATCAAATCATCTATCCTTAAATCTTTGTTTCAGATGAAGAAAACACCACAAAAAGCATTTTAGGAAGAGAAAAAAGGGGGAATCCTCAGGAAGAGCAATAGAAGAGAGATTCCTCTTCCAGGTCTGACAGACATGAAATTGGTGTCATACATACAAAGTAGAGAGAATTAGTAGTAGTAGTAAACTGATACCTATCTCAGTCTCTAAAGACCTTTCTTTTTTTTAGCTCATTGTTTTGCTTTTACTGCAATACTGTTTTGGTTGATTCTGACTGCTCTCATCAACCCTGTTTCCAGCAGCAGCAGACAGCTTGTTTTTTTATGAATTTATTTATTTTTAGCAAAAAAGCTCTGATAAAAACATTGTTTTGCAGTAGTCAGACAAAGTTACAGTAGCGATTAGCTGGTTTACATAGTGGAGCATTTAGCAGCTAATTTAGCAGCCAGAGTTAGTGGAGACCAAAACATGTTTACCACAACACCAGTTCATGTGGAATACAGAAGAAAGAAAATAAATCCAATCAAACTAAGAATCTAAAGATCATTGCTTTGTTGTATACACTGAAGAAAAAAGTGCCATTATGTATGTAAAACAGTGGTTGTGGTAATGCAATGTTTTTTTGAGTTTTCCCACACTTGTATTATAATAAAGACCAATGCATGTTTTCAGGTACGCCCAGCTAAGCTCTAGCTAGCAGTTGTGTGGTAACTTTGAACCAAGAAGGCGCTGGAGGCTGCTTGCAGCAGCGGGTAGCCTCTAAAGCCTTTCCATTCCCAACAGCAAAGCAAAGTGAACCCACAGAGGGGATAGACAGCCAGCGCTCGCCTAGTTTCTCTGGAAACTGACTGTGATGCTGGAAAGTGTTGCTTTACGACGCCTTCACACTCCTGTGTGTGCATGTGTTGAAAAAGGTCAAAACATAGAGTTCAGAACAGTGTGTACCCCTTTGAAAAGGTTTGTGACGTGCCTTTTGAATTATGTTATACCAAAAAAACTGCCAAGAGGTGTTTTCACTGAGGGTCTTGTGAACTTAATGCTCATTTTGAAAAAATCTTATGATTTCTGTTGAATATTGTAAGACAAATGAAGAACTTTTAATGGGTAAAACGTATATGTAGTAGAATATCAGAGAAACAAAACATATTCAAAAGTATTTTGTGCCATTTAACTCATGGCCTGAAACAGAGAGGAATGTGAAAAAGGCAACAACTTATCATCAACATTTACTTTATATTTCCTGCTACACGTGGTTTCCATCTCTGTACAGTACTTTCTGAAACTACCTAGTTAAACCACTTCCTCCATGACAAAATGGTTATAACAGTTTTTCCCTGTACACTTAAACCTTCCTATGGCATTCAAATTAGATAAAATTCTTGCAGTAAAAACACTTTTCCACAAGGGGGTGGTACTCAAATAAATGACTGCATCTATTGTTTGTTGTCTAAACACAAACAACAGCCTGTTCAGGTGTAAGAGTTGGAAGTGAAGTTACTATTGGCTGCTCATTAGTATCATGCACACTAACCACTGAGTTCCTTCTTCATCCCTTACAGTGCTCACTTGACCTCAGTTGGCAGCCTCTGAATGAAGAACCCTCCTAAGGACTTAATGAGATGTGATCTGTTTTGAATAACCATACTTTTGACCCACTGTTACTGCACTGTCCTTCAGCCATTGGAATAATTCAGTTTGGTATTTGAAAACATTAAGTTCTATACAGGGCTTACTTTAGTAAAAATAATTTTTGATCTAAGTTTTCTAATTAAGGAAGGCTTAAAGTCTGTAGCTAGGTGCTAA